TCTCCCTCACCACTCTCCCCCTCACCACTCTCTCCCTCACCACCTCTCTCCCTCACCACTCTCTCCCTCACCACTCTCCCCCTCACCACTCTCCCCCTCACCACTCTCTCCCTCACCACCCCTCTCCCTCACCACTCTCTCCCTCACCACTCTCCCCCCTCACCACTCTCCCCCTCACCACTCTCCCCCTCACCACTCTCCCCCTCACCACTCTCCCCCTCACCACTCTCCCCCTCACCACTCTCTCCCTCACCACTCTCCCCCTCACCACTCTCCCCTCACCACTCTCCCTCACCACTCTCCTCCCTCACCACTCTCCCCCTCACCACTCTCCCCCTCACCACTCTCCCCCTCACCACTCTCCCCCTCACCACTCTCCCCCTCACCACTCTCCCCCTCACCACTCTCTCCCTCACCACTCACTCTCTCCCTCACCACTCTCACCACTCTCACCACTCTCTCCCTCACCACTCTCCTCCTCACCACTCTCTCCCTCACCACCTCTCTCCCTCACCACTCTCTCCCTCACCACTATCCCCCTCACCACTCTCCCCCTCACCACTCTCCCCCTCACCACTCTCCCCCTCACCACTCTCCCCCTCACCACTCTCTCCCTCACCACTCTCCCCCTCACCACTCTCCCCCTCACCACTCTCCCCCTCACCACTCTCCCCCCTCACCACTCTCTCCCTCACCACTCTCCCCCCTCACCACTCTCCCCCTCACCACTCTCCCCCTCACCACTCTCCCCCTCACCACTCTCTCCCTCACCACTCACTCTCTCCCTCACCACTCTCACCACTCTCTCCCTCACCACTCTCCCCCTCACCACTCTCTCCCTCACCACCTCTCTCCCTCACCATTCTCTCCCTCACCACTCTCCCCCTCACCACTCTCCCCCTCACCACTCTCCCCCCTCACCACTCTCCCCCTCACCACTCTCTCCCTCACCACTCACTCTCTCCCTCACCACTCTCACCACTCTCTCCCTCACCACTCTCCCCCCTCACCACTCTCTCCCTCACCACCTCTCTCCCACTCTCCCCCTCACCACTCTCCCCCTCACCACTCTCCCCCTCACCACTCTCCCCCCTCACCACTCTCCCTCACCACTCTCCCCCTCACCACTCTCCCCCTCACCACTCTCCCCCTCACCACTCTCCCCCTCACCACTCTCTCCCTCACCACTCTCCCCCTCACCACTCTCCCCCTCACCGCTCTCCCCCTCACCACACTCCCCCTCACCACTCTCCCCCTCACCACTCTCCCCCTCACCACTCTCCCCCTCACCACTCTCCCCCTCACCACTCTCTCCCTCACCACTCTCCCCCCTCACCACTCTCCCCCTCACCACTCTCTCCCTCACCACTCACTCTCTCCCTCACCACTCTCACCACTCTCACCACTCTCTCCCTCACCACTCTCCCCCTCACCACTCTCCCCCTCACCACCACTCTCCCTCACCACTCTCCCCCTCACCACTCACCCCCTCACCACTCTCCCCCTTACCACTCTCTCCCTCACCACTCTCCCCCTCACCACCACTCTCCCTCACCACTCTCCCCCTCACCACTCTCCCCCTCACCACTCTCTCCCTCACCACTCTCTCCCTCACCACTCTCTCCCTCACCACTCTCTCCCTCACCACTCTCCCCCTCACCACTCTCCCCCTCACCACTCTCCCCCTCACCACTCTCTCCCTCACCACTCTCCCCCTCACCACTCTCCCCCTCACCACTCTCCCCCTCACCACTCTCACCACTCTCCCCCTCACCACTCTCTCCCTCACCACTCTTCCCCTCACCACTCTCTCCCTCACCACTCTCTCCCTCACCACTCTCCCCCTCACCACTCTCTCCCTCACCACTCTCCCCCTCACCACTCTCCCCCTCACCACTCTCCCCCTCACCACTCTCACCACTCTCTCCCTCACCACTCTCTCCCTCACCACTCTCCCCCTCACCACTCTCTCCCTCACCACTCTCTCCCTCACCACTCTCCCCCTCACCACTCTCTCCCTCACCACTCTCCCCCTCACCACTCTCTCCCTCACCACTCACTCTCTCCCTCACCACTCTCACCACTCTCACCACTCTCCCCCTCACCACTCTCCCCCTCACCACTCTCCCCCTCACCACTCTCTCCCTCACCACTCACTCTCTCCCTCACCACTCTCACCACTCTCACCACTCTCTCCCTCACCACTCTCCCCCTCACCACTCTCCCCCTCACCACCACTCTCCCTCACCACCACTCTCCCTCACCACTCTCTCCCTCACCACTCTCCCCCTCACCACTCTCCCCCTCACCACTCTCCCCCTCACCACTCTTCCCCTCACCACTCTCCCCCTCACCACTCTCTCCCTCACCACTCTCCCCCTCACCACCACTCTCCCTCACCACTCTCCCCCTCACCACTCTCCCCCTCACCACTCTCCCCCTCACCACTCTCTCCCTCACCACTCTCCCCCTCACCACTCTCCCCCTCACCACTCTCCCCCTCAACACTCTCCCCCTCACCACTCTCTCCCTCACCACTCTCCCCCTCACCACTCTCTCCCTCACCACATGTTAAAGGTGCTCCTAAAGGAATCTACAACCTTCGATGATTCCTTTGTGCGATTCAAAGAATCGATTCCTGGCGCATAGGAGGTTTCCATTTTGAATGACAGAGTTTTATTTTCATTGATATGTTATGTTTTAATGTTTTCAGGAGTTTTTAAATAACATTTTTGCCCCGGTCAACGCCGGATATTTCCCCTTCGTAGCAGTTTATATCGACTTTAACCAACTTATAGTAAACGGGAATCGTCCGAATCTAAAGGAATCTACAACCTTCGTTTCCGTTGCGCGATTCAGAGAATCGATTCTTGGCGCGTCGGGTTTATAATTTTAATTACACACTTGTATTTTCATTGGTATGTAATGTTTTAAAGTTTTCAGAAGATTTTAAATGTATTTTCCCCCCGGGCAACGCCGGGTATATCGAGTTTATACCACCAAGTCGTCGCTTGACACGGGTGGGGTGTCGAGGCCTAGTACCGTGCAGAGCCTCCTGGGTACTGGGGCCAATACCCCCCCCCCCCCCCGCGCTACAATAATACTGTCTAATCGCTATAATTTTATTATCTACTTGACCCTATAATAGTAATTGCACACATTAGGGTGGGGGGGAGTGAAGAGGACGTGAAACTTTGATGAATTTACCTCAGAATCGCGTGTTAATGCATGCGCATATTTTTAATGGTAATTCAAAATGGCGTCCACCCCGCAGCGAATGCGTCGCTACCCGTTGCCAGGGGCAACCGCCGTGGTCCGCGCCGGCCGGCAAGAGTAAATAAATAAATAAAGCGTTAAATAAATAAATAAAGATAAATCGCACTAAATCGATAATCGGTCCGATTTAAAGTTTAGAGACGAAAAATCGGAAATGCCTAAGTTTACCGCGGGGCCGGGGGCGTGCCCACCTGCAAAATTTAATCTCGCCGAACCCCACGGTCCGAGAGCTAAATCCCCCGGTAGGGAGCGTACGCGGACGGACGGACAAAAAATGAATTATATAGGTTTGATTGACGTGGGAATAGCAGAGGATAAGTGAGTTATAAAGGGAAGGGACCACAATTTAAACCATAAATGACAAAAATACATATTTGACTGGATCTATGAATAAATCTATGACTGGGTTTGGACAGTACTTGCTTTTTGAGCAAAACTATGAATGATGCAATCTGAACCTGGCATTGCATCATACATGATATGAATTGCATCATGTTATTCTTAGAAATCATGGATGATGCAACACTAACTAGGCTGACATCCATCTGCTGAACAAATTGCCCTATATCAGCTCTAGAAGAATCATAGTGTTGTGCTCTCTTATTTGTCAGTGTTTGATGTTGCAAAGTGACACATTTATGTTTAGCCAAAGTGAGCAGAGATGCCTCGCACTTGTGTGAACAAAGCAGATAACTTCTGCTATGTTTGTGTTGAAGTGACTTTTGCATCGCAACAGTGCAGTATAACCACTATGGTTAAGAAAGCCTATCACCTTTATTTTCGCTGCAAAATTGAAGATCAGGACAAGATGTGGGCCCCACACAAATGCTGCAACACTTGTGCAACAAATCTTCACAAGTGGTTGAACGGCAAGAGGAACTACATGCCTTTTGCAGTGCCAATTATTTGGAAAAAAGCCAACAGATCATATCAGCAATTGTTACTTCTACATGGCGCGTCCAGTTGGGAAAGGTGTGTCAAAGAAGAAAAGGTGGACTGTGAATTATCCAAACATTCCATCAGCTATACGCCCAGTACCCCACGGAGAAGACCTGCTGGTTTGTGGTGCACCAGGATCATTCTCACTTGAGTCAGACGAGGATGAGGATGAAACTTCTGGTCCTGAACCATCAAGGCCACATGACCCAGATTTTCTCCCATCCTCCTCCTCTGAACCACACCTCATAACACAAGTGAACTGAAAGACCTTGTCAGGGATTTAGAACTACCCAAGATTAAGGTAGGGCTGTTGGGCTCCAGACTGCAGCAGTGGAATCTCCTGGCAGGTGATGTTAGGGTTTCCATGTTCCATGACCATCAAAAGGATCTTGTCGCATTCTTCTTCATGGAAGGTGATCTTGTAGCCTGCAACAACATCGATGGTGTGATGGCAGCCCTCAACATCGTTCATGATCCAAATTAGTAGTGGAATCTGTTAATTGCTTAATCGAAAATAAGTCTTAAAGCTGTTTTGCTGCATAATGACAATATTTTTCCATCAATTCTAGTAGGCCCGCAGTATGGGCGCTTGCCCAGGAACCAACAAACGAGGTGGAAGGAATCAGGGGCTGACTGATCGCGGGCGACGAGTCGAAACCATCGGGGCTGACCGATCGAGGAGTTTTAAATACGTTATTCTTAGCAATAAAGACTTCACCTTTTTTAAGAATGGACGTCTCAAAGGAGCTTCATTACACATGTAAGAAAATGAGCAAGAAACAAAGTTGCCTTTTGAAATGTGTTTATTTAAAAACATTCAGGTTTACAGTCTTCATAGTATAAAAATAGAATGCTGCTTTAATACAAAATCCTGAATATCAGAAAATTTAAATGTCATGCACATAGTACAATACAAGATCCAGCATCCAGGTGCTAAAATAAACAAAGTAGCCAATTATTTATAATATTCAGGTTTAAAAAGTCGTATTATAGGAGTAGAATGTTTCTTTAATACAAATATCTGAATATCAGATAAGGCAGATGTAACACACACAGTGCAATACGTGTTCCAGTTTCCATGTATTGATGAACAATGGAATTTCAGTTCTTAAAACTCGACATGTCACGCTTTTTAAGATCTTAATATAAGATTACAAAGTTCAGTTGGTTTCCAAAAAATGCAATGTGTAATGAAACCAGCGGTGTTAAAATCCCAAATCCACTTCGATAGGAAAATCACTGGAGGCCCAGGTAGGATGACTTCACTTGTTCCTGCAAGTAAATTGAGTACACATACAAGGCCCTGCACAGGCCAGCAGGGCATCTGCAACAGTTGGCTTCACTTAAAAAATACATTCATGGCTTTTTACATACAATTAACAAAACATGCTGCAGCAAGGGTTAATGCTGTTTCAGCTGAAAACACACACACACACGTGAGACGTTATGAATTGAGTTTTAAATGAATCCACACGTTTTTATTTACCAATCCGACAGTGTCGATGAAAAGCCCACAAACACACAACATTGGAGATGAAGAGAAACCTTCTTCCACCATACAGTCACGCCTGATAAAGAAAACACTCAAAACGCTGCAATGAACAAAATGTTAAGTGGGGTGGTTTGAAGGAAATGGAAATTTGTGTCCTGCAGTCTCCATTGAAGAGTGATGATAAGAAATCTGTAAGAGAATCAAATCTGTCAGTAAGTGATCATTACAAAGAGAAGCAGCTTGTGGTCCCCCGTGTGTGCCGGCACGTTCCCTGTGAACTCTCGGTTACTATTGAGACGAGGCATGACGAGTACAAACACGTTATTTCCCCCAAGGGGAATCTGCACATCCAGAAGTCTGAGCGAGCCTTGCTCCTGGTCCATGTTGTAACCTATACCTGGAAAAGGTTTTACTATGACCGTTAATCACTCAAAACCACACCAAAAAAACGCTGTGCCTCCAGCCTGTAAAAAAAAAGCAATTGACCAACAACCACATGAAAGCACATGAAATGCAATATAACCCAAAAAACTGTATTATGAAAAACGTAAAAGTTACCTTGCTTAACACACTAAAAACCTTTAGTAAGCGATAAAAAATGTAAAAACACAGTTTTTAAAAACACAAATGTAACACAAATGGAAATGTATGCCGGTAACTATGAAGGCAGCTGCACACATTTAAAAAAATATACAATCGTAATCTTTGTATTTACATGGTGCTATAATGCCTCAGAAACTCTGTGCCTTGCAACACATCAAACATTCAAAGGGACCCCCCCCTCCAGTGGCAGCTGTCCCGTGTGGCACAAGGGCACTTTGGTACCGACCTGCGAGTGGACATTGGTTGAGCAATAGCAGACGATGACTGTGAAGAGTAATCCAAATTACATTACACACCTACGATTAGCTACGTACGTGTGAAAGAAGTTCAACATACAAATTTGGTATTTTTTTCCAAATTGTGCTAATTAGGACCATTAAAAACCCACCGAATACAACAAAATTCAACATTTCAACTTGTATAAACATATATCACACGTACATAAAGGACAACACTTTTTTTTGCAGGTATAACGGGTATATCTGCACCTTTCAAGGATACCTTGTGCCATTGAGCATTTTGATGAGAATGTTTAAATAAAGTGCAGAAAGTGCATGTAGGGCTTTTAACAAACAGTATTACACACATACATAAAATGCATACAACCATCATATTGCCAAAACAGACGACTGACACCAAAGCAGTACGATGTGCCATGTAATTTTTTTAAACCTATATAATTACACATTGACTCATGATTTCAGAATTCCACTGGTGCTTAGAAAACAAATCCCATTTGTTTTCTTCTAAAATAAACATTAAGATGAATGCGATAATGTGTCGATCAAATTGTATACATTGTGCAGTATGGCGCGCGCGCACACACACACTATTTTTAATCCTTGTGCAATACCAGAATACTGCAGGGCGAAATTTATAATAATCCAAATAAATACTCATGCAAACTTATGATAAACGGGCAACACAATGTGAAAATCCTGCTCTGGGATGTTGTATATATCACCTGCACACACATGAATACCTCACACCACCACATACCCGAGATTTTCTGCACCACCCCCATCTACAAGTGGCATCTGTACTTCTGAAATTTGTATGCACCAAGTCCCAGCCACTGTGCAATCAGGCCATTCCACCCATTCCTATTCTGATTCACTGCTGAGCTGCATCAGCATTTATAGTTTGCAAAAATAAGAGGAAATTCAAACCATGCTTGGGAATGCAAGCACAGGGCTGTCAATATGTTGGCCGTGTCACCATTGTGCATGCGAAAAAATGCTTATCAAAATTGCTGGTACATTTATTTCTTATGCAATCGTTCCTTATTCTCCATAGCATTGTTTTGTATACAACAACAACAAAGTGCATCCTTCCCTTCTAAAAGCAGAAGGGTCCTGTTTAATCCTTCTAAAAGTACAACGCTAAATAATTGGGAATAAACATGTACAGATCTGAACGTAATAACGCACTGCAAGGCACCACAATGAACATACATGTCACACCAAAAGGCATGTATGTGTTGTAGGCCACTCCTTAACAGCCAGTTGTTAATAATTATGAGCAACAGCATTGCAACATGACACAATTCCCATTCATAATACTGTTTTAACGAGTGTTGGGATATTGGAATCCTACTGGATATGGGCAGGCCGCAAGTCTAAGTGGCTTTGCAAGCAAGCATAGCCAAGGTTGCACACAGAGCGGCACCGACCCTAATGGAAATTGTAAAAAAAAACTTACAGTTAATTGACCACGTATTAGTTCACTGAGCATTGACAAGAGTTGTGCAGAGAAATACCAGCTGAAGAGATAACATGTAATTCTCCAAGAAATACTGAACAGGTAGTGAAAGTACAGCACAAACCAACTGTTGATTAGGAATAGTCGAAGGAGACCAAAGGATTCTATGAAGGGGTGCACAGCCAACAACACATACATGTGATTTATAAACGAATTATGAGACATCTTATCCTCCAGTGTAAGAGTAATTAGTTTATAATTCCAATGTAGTTAGACACGTGCAAGTTCATTGGGTGTGCATCTCATCTACACAGCCTTGCAGTCACCCCCTTGAAGTGCTAAGGACTAATTAGGGCTGGGATTCAATGCTCAGGTTGACAAACGAAGCCACCGTGAATACAGTAGTCTGATGTCACCTGATTAGAGGTTTCATTTAGTGCTTGTGCATACTGGAATTCAAGTTCTGTCATCGTGAGCACGTTCAATTAACACTTTTGATAAGACTACGTTGCTTCGTAACAAAATAATTAGTTTCCATGCAATGGTGCTACACACTGATTACTGCCAGCGTGCTTAATATGTAGTCTGCACATCAAATCGCAAATTAAGCATAAATGTACTTCCTAATTAAGTATCGAATGGGACAGCCTTAATAAGCGAGAGATAACATTTTTGTGGCAGGGCCATGGGCATGCAAAAATGCATTACGCTCTATCTTACGAGGCAGAGTTATTTAACTTTTGGATATGGACAAAATTACATTAAATACATGATGACAGTCATCCACGAATGGGTTGGCACATGCAGTACACTAACACTTTAAATACAACAAAAGTACTTATTAAATTGTTTTAAAATGTGTCTATTGAAATGTTTTTAAAACACTGTCATTATTTAAAATGCGACATAAAACCAAACAGTGAAAAAAAGACAAGGAGCATGCTCCAATTATTGTCCCAAAAAAAACCGATCAGGCTTCAATTTGCATTAATATTTCTATAAAACAAATATGGGGCAGGTATTGACAGAAGAGAGGTCAAATAAACAAAACAGATGCCCTGGGTTGTAGATTATGTTCAACCTATAGCGTTACAGTATACTGATAGATTTACAGAAAGTCTCGCTCCGATATGGAAAGGGGTAAGCAAGAATGGGGCCTATGGCACATCCCACCTGCTCCATTAATTCACAAAAGTTGACAATGACGTGCACAATATGCAATGAAGTATGAAAAGGGTGCATATTTTTGGACCGTAAAGTAACTTGACAAATGTAACATGCATAATCGGATTATTGAAGATGCAAAATCGATCGTCGGTAAGCAGTACATGTCAAGGAGACACGACTGTAGGTTCATGATATCGATTGCAAAAATTACACATTAAATCCCAGCCCTAACGAATTACAATAATAATACATTGTATTAACAATTGTTCAGGACCTGTGCCAAAATGTCCAGCAGTGCAGAAAATCACCACAATATTATTACAAGACATAAGTAGTAAAACGTAGCAATGCCCAGTTAGGCAAATGACACTTCCATTCTCAGCATAATTTAAGTCCTCTGTATGCATGCCAACTACTCGAAACAGCTGATGCAGCAAAAAGCAGGTCCCTAAATATCATGGCCCAGGAATGCGTGGCATTGGTACTATTCCATCTGTTCAAATGAAGCCCCTTGTTCAAAAATCCAGTGAAGGAACAAACATCACTCATTAACTTCAGTGTTGTATAACCAAAAAAAATCGTTGCAAACAAATCCCATTGTTTTCATGGCACACCCGCTGCGGTGAACACGCTTAAAAGCTGTGTCAAAATGCGGTCATGGTAACATGGCAGAAGAAATACCCATTCTCCTGTGATACCCGAGTATATCATGAAAAACAACACAAAGCTATTAAGAATTTAGAAACATGCCAAATGCCAAACTTGTATCTATGCAAATTGAGTGCTACAATCTAAAGTGAATTTTGTATTAATATAAAATGTACAACCATTGTTAACTCTGCACTTTGGCAGTGTTATTTTCACATCATATGCAAATATGACGTGTCACTAACTTCACGTAACCTGAAGTTCGTGAAAACACGTGGCCAATTAAAACATTCAAGTCTTGAAAAACAAACCCTCTTTTTTAAGGAGCACTCGTGCTGTTTGATATTCACACTGTCCCACGTATACTTACTGTCATTTTAATTCATGTTTACGAATCAGGCATTATCTGCAGTAAATGCCAAGGTATGTTGTCATCTTATACTGTATAATGCACTCCAAGTATTCAAAAAGATATATCTATGTGCAGCATCACATATAAATAAAACATACACGTAAAATCACCCTTAACTGTGTCACTCATGACAGCGTTTAATGTTTTAATGTTTTCCACAGCAAGTACACATAAAAAAAATTCTCTCCCAAGCCTTGGTTTGTGACAAAAATGTGATTAGGGGAATGACAAACTATGAACGACCTGCATCTACAAGGAAAGCAGACTAGTGGCCTCTTGAGCATGCTATGAAAAGGTCCCAAAATAAATCAAAAGTACCTGTAGCGATGGCTCCTGGGAGCATTTTGTAAAAGCAAGTTAACGTGCTGTCCATGGATCTCCAGTGTACTGCTGTAAGGAGCACACTGAACCCAGGTGACACACCAATAAAACAAGCTCCTGCCCCTACCTCAACTGCTACTCGCATTCACAGTTACTCTGTCATACTTCTGCTCTTTCTGTGACAACGTTTACGATTCGCCTCTTTTTGTAAAGATACGCTGACACAATGTGCCAATCCAAAAGTTAAATCAAAACCATTGTCACACTCAGCTGTCCGTTGCACGCAAAAGGGTTTCCTGAAGTCAAAACTTAATGGAGCAAAGTGTCAATACCCACTTTCGAGCTTTAGGAGCCTCTTGAGCAGGCTGCGATACCAAGATGATTCCCATATAAATCATTAGGTCTCAAATAGTTATCCTAATGAAAACAGTACTTAACATCGAAGTAGTCTATAAAATCCTATGATTAACAACTTAAAGGAATCCAACATGGTCACAATCTTTTTTATAAACACTAACTCATACGCACGCAACTCGGACAGCTATGCACACCTATTGAAAAGAACAAGATTATACAGAGGACAAACAGAAAAAAAGCCAAAGTTAACGTCTCTATCTAGGTACGTGTTCTGCAATGTAGATATCCTTTTCATGGATAAGGCAAGTGCCACTGCATAAATATCTCTACTAAAGATATATCGACCTAACAAGGGGACACTGGTCTCATGTGAACTTAAGTCAAGCCTTGGGTGGTGTTGGCAGTTTGTGAATGAACATTATCTTCCAGTGACGTAACGCAACAGATGAAATATCTTTAAGCCATAATTATACTTTAGTCTTTCCAGCATCCGCATGGGCATGGTATATCAGCTGCTTTCTGTAAGATACGCCCGAGTCACAACACTATGGGTCTACGAAGTCCTGTGGATCGGCTGTAGCAAAGAAGCATCAGATGCACTCCGGTATCGGAGCCAGGCAGGCATAGGTAATCATTTCCTCCTGGGCAAATGCAGAGGAGAGCCTGAAACAGATACTTTTGAATCATTCCCATGAATAACTAATGCATACATGGGACTGCGTCCATCTGGATTCTAAATACATATCCCTTTCATACAACAGGCTCCGATTCTATGTTGACTGTGTTGCATAGACAATTTTTTACAATTATGACAAAGGCTGGAATTAAAGTAGTGATTAATTGATATCTATTTTTAGGAACAGGAACTAATCAGGACACATTCAGACGTCATATAAGTTTATCTACAGAAGTTATTTTAACTGGAATTCCCTGCCACCGTGTTTTTCATTGGCCGTATTAATGATGTGATTTAATACTTCAAAAGCACTTGAAGGGAAGATCCTAACAATGCTGAGGCCATTTCGCAGTGTCCTCTTGAACCACCTCTTCCTTGATAATCATGTGAACTTGATGTTATGTCGTCGTGTTAAAATTTCTCTGGCTTGTGCAATGAGGCCCAGCTACCACAAATGTATACATTTGACACAACTGTGATTTTTCCCAATGTGCTCCATCATATAATCCACCTGTGAAGAGGGTAAAATGTGTACAGAGGTAGGAATTACTTTGAACACCACCTTTGGCTCCTCTGGGTAAACTTGTTTTCTTTCCAGGCTAAAGGTACTCCCTTACCAGGCCAGGTGGTGCTATGACTCGAGTGCAAGACTCACAATCATCTTATGGAGAGACTTGGCTTCCACTATGGGAATGTGGAATTTCCACCACTGGCTATGGGCCACCACAGTAGGACTGAGCACCGTACCATTGCTCATTTGGACAGGGAGACACTCCACGTGCTCTTGCACCTCTACGCAGTGGAAACACTTCCATGTCAGTCTCAAGCCACTAACAATGCAGACACAGTGTTTGCTGGGGGGAAATAACTGAACCCTCGGTGAAGGAGCTGCATTCTTGTCCAAAGGGAAATAGTTCCTTCATGACAAAAAGTTTGCGCCCTGTCATGTGCACCTTGCCATAAAAAATCGAATAATTTAAGCCGCAATCACTAAAATTGCCTCAGCTTAAAAAAGTGCCCATTCAACTAAACATTTAGGACCAGCTCAATAGCAAACAATCATTAATAACGATACATCAAGACAAAACTGCAACTGATGTAGACAACCTAACATTGCTGCTCAATTTTACGCAACGCATCAGCCTTACCTTATTGCAAAGGCAATGCCAACGCACCTGCCTGTGAGAATGAACCTGTCGACATTACAGCCCAGGTGCCACCAGCAGAACCAACACAACAAGAATTATAAGGATCTGTCTGGCCACTCACTAACTAGTCGTGAATTTTCAATTGCAGACTTAATCCGTGGCAGTCAAGCTATTGTCAGAGTGCAACAACTGGACTTCTCAAGGTAGGCCAAGCATCGCTTCCCTAATGGCATGAAGATTTCGCAAGGCAGAACTCTGAATTGTATAGTTGCATTAACTAATTACAAATGCTGCAAATTAGTATTAAGTAATTGTTTAACAAGGCATAAAGCTTCAGTTGATTAAACAAAATCCTGCTGAGAGGTTTTGCCAAACAAATGCATCAGGCCGATACACGTGCATTTCATATGGTTCTGTGCCATTTGTTGCACTACAGCTTTCAACTCGTTGTATGCTGCAAAATGCAGGCTTTGAGAAATTAAAAGCAAGGTTTTACTCTCTGGGCCAAGAAAATCAATAGCTATGTTACATGAACAAAAATGTGCTTTGGTCAACATCGTAAGAACTGCCTGATCTAGGCTACCTGGTAATTCAAACAAAACGTTAGCCCTGGGATTGCAATGAAAGTCTTATTTTAGAATTAAGTGATCATCTCACTTTAAAAACTGCGATGCCCATTGTCTATATATTGGTGATTGATCTGAAATTCTATGAAAGGAGTACACTTGTCTTCTCTGTAAAAAAAATCTCACTGGGTTCCCCCCTATTATTCTACGATTACTCAAGAGACCACTAACCTGCTTCCAACTATATTTTACAATAAATGACAACGTAAAGATAAGCACAGAGGCGTGAACACAAACCTACTAATAATAACAACTCTATAAGCTAAATCGTTGCCCGATTTTATTTACGACACAAGGCAATAAAATGTATAACTTCCACGACAAAAATAATTACAACATATGCAGTTGACGTAACTGCAGTGGCGGCACATTGTCCGTTCTTCTCATTTGTCGCTCCACGGAGAAATGTCACTCATCCAGAGTCCGTTACAAATCACAGCCCATGCTCCATTGCTGTCAGTTCATCTGAACGCTGTGGCCGACATGGCTTTACACATGTTACCATCGAGTAGCGTACTTTGCTGTGCACGCGGGGAGGAGAATGGAGGAGGCTCTCTTGAGGAGGGAGGCGTTCTCTGTCTCGGTCCAACGAGTGCTGCGCTGGGGCAACGGGAGCGCTGGAGGGAGGCGAAGAGTCGCCGACGCGGGCAAAGTTCACCCTTCCATCAGCACCGTGACATTAATGTGCGAGAGGTCTACCATGTGCCTGTGAATCCACAAGGAATGAAGCAATGTGTTAATAATTTAGACTTCAGATCACATTTCACGAACCATTTTGTTCACTATTTTGGTGGAATATCATAATTGTGATAACATAGTGATGTTATGAAACAGTAACACATCCTTTCAGGATTTCTCAACACCAGCAGGCAAGGGACCTTTTGGAAAATAATACCATAACTACATAAAAATTCGAAATTTTGATCAGCCTCTGTTACCCAAGAATACATGGTAGTCATTTTTTCTCTGTAAAGCTCTTGTTGACTCCACAGTATTTTTCGATTTAAAGCTTTCGTGACTGCAGGGATTCATATTCTTGGTTCTTTCGGTAAAGTCACGTAGAAGGGAAATAATAAAATAATGTTTCTTTTTTTATTTCCCCTCCACAGTATTTATTATTACTTTTATCTGCCATAGTTGGGTCAGGATAATTTACGTAAAAATATAATGTGTAGTTGTTTCTGTAATCATTGGTGACAAGGCTGAGACCATAAACTCACTACACTTGAGAAACTGGTTTTTATCACAAGTGACATCCTGGAATCAAAACCAGAATCTTACAAGTTCAGGATTAGGCCAACTGCTAGGAGCATCACCAGCTCTTTAAAGTCACTCACCTCTTACTTTTAAAGTAGGCAACCCCACTATGCGCCATTAATTTTGAGAAGAGCTCAACATACAACAATCTAGCGCCGCACAAATTAAAATATGCAGTGGATAAACATGTATAGAGATATTTAAGTGAGATGAGGGGCTCACTAATATAATATTTGTTTATTTTACGTGTTAAGTTTGTTGTCCTTCCTCCACACATCTCCGATTAGCCACAGCTTGATACATATGGTGCAAATTAAGTTCCACATACATCCATACAATATTGTATCCTTGTCACATAGTTCACCTGTGGTATTGCTGCTGGAAGTCGACAGCATGGGCTGGGTCAATAAAGGTGGCGACAGCTCGTCGGTGATGTGGCATCATCTCCAAAGTCTAGGACAAAAGAGAAAAAATCTGCATCATAATTGCATCTTCCATCATATATAGAACTCTGCTTTGCGATTGGGTGGTACGCGCTGGACTCACAATCACAAAGTTGAGAGTTCAAATACTGGTTATGAGTAAACTCGGACCATCGTCCCAGAGGGTCATTAAACATGAGTTCGACTTGTGAGAATTCAACATTTTTCATCGTATTGAGATATACTGAAAATCTCTTGAAAATATTCATGCATTTTCTTGTGATACTGCATTGGCAGTGGTGCATAAGCACACAAAACTCAACACATTTGTCAATAACATTGCCCTGGAAAACATGTCAAATTTATGTCATTTCAGGTCAACTATGTGCTATGAAGGGGCATTGCCCAATCCATCACCTATTTATATATATTTTCCATTTAGGGTAGCGTTATTCATATGTTGCTTCCCAGAAAAAATTGAATTTCCAAAACATAGGGACACAAACATGAGTGCTACGACAATGCACACAAGAGGGGAAAATCCGAAAACCGTGATCAAATTTGAAAACCGGGGGAATCGGCAAGTCTGAATCCACAAAAAACGATTTCAACTGTTGCATTGCTATGCATCAATACTGGAATAAAATAGCACCCAATAGTTTGCATGGTTACAAGTTTAAGAGGCTCCATGGTAGTAGTGGGGCACCACCTTCTGGTTAGGCAGTGAAAAAACATTTTCATCACAGCACTCAAAAACTGAGATGAAATCTAGTAATGGGCAATAAAGGTCATCCTTACTAGGTCACAATACAGCATGGTAATACCAGTGAGTATCAAAAGTATAATTTAATTAAAAAATACATGAATTTCAAGTACCACCCTTATCACCCATTGAAATTAATGATGCACTCCATCCTCACCAGTGTCGTCATCATTACCCTTGGACCTCTACGTACCTCTATGGGTCCCACCGAGCCTAAGATGGCCCTCAGCTGGCCCTCAGAGGTGTTGATGGAGAGGCCATCAATAGCAACGCGGCTGGGCTGTGGCCTGCACTCCACAACACGCAGGTTCTGGGGGTGCGGGACTCCTCGTGCCTGCCCCTTGCCTCCAGCCATGTGAGGGGGAAATCCGCCCTTGCCTCGCATCGCCATGGGCATCTGAGAAGATGAGACACACCAGATACTCTTAAACAAAGCCAAGCACGCAAATAACATTTTAAAAAACTCAATACATTAGTCAAAAATATTTCCATAAAAAGCAAAAAATATACAACAGGTGACATTTCGGACAATGGACCGTTTTCAAATCAGAGGCCAGAGGTAGAGTGCCAAATCACTTGTTTGATATAGCAGCAGATGATTGCTTGACGTTTTTATGCCACTTTTATTACTTAATTTAATAATAAAATGAAAAATCCTATATCCAAGTGTGCCATCGGCATCATGTCACAAGGTGATGAAATGTCCATTCAGAACTCACAGTAAGCAAGGTACCACATCGTGTCAGTAACCCCATGACATGTCACAATTTCTCTAGTCAATTGAATACGCATCTTATCTACGTTACGTAGCATGCCCTCTATATGCAGTGCAAGAAGCATTCTTTTAGTCCTCAAACCTCGAATATTTATGAATTAAATGTGAATTAATACATTATGGTTTTCTAATGCAATCATTTTAAATCAGGCTAAGACCACCAACTCTACACTTAAGAACTCAGACAGTTTCATTCATGCTACTTGCAAAATTACAATCTGAATTGGTGGCCCTGTGGCAGAGCCATCAAATCCCGATTGGTAATTGAATCAACCCATCATCCACCTTGGGTCAGTAAAACAAGTTCCAATTTGTGCTGTCTACCATTAACTCAAGACCACTAAAAGCACTGCAGTGTAAGGTAGCGCTACAAATAACGAAATATATCCTCATATCGAAGCAGCGCTGCACTCGTTGCAGATAAAATCACAAATGTCATCTGCAACGCCATAAGGGGCACAAAAGAGCATCAATTTTAAAATGATTTTGGAAATAAATTGTGAAATAATTCGGAGATAAAATGCCACAAAGCTTGCCATGATAGCAGGCATGACAACAAAGCAACCTTGTTGGTATCTGGTACCACAATCAGCATCAGCTCTTCAAGATTACACTGAGAAATGCAAAACGCTGTGGACCGTGAAGAGTCATGTTCTCACATTAAGCACCCTGTCCGTGACAGAACACCCTGCAGGGTGGATGGACCATCAATCAACTGCGGAATTTAGGCAGGAGCACTGTATGGCAGTGAGGCAGCAGCATCTAACAGGATGGGATCTAAATAATCAGTCTCACACCGATCAAATGAGTATGGGGCGGTGCTCATCTCATTTGGCCACTTCAGTCCAGAGGTAAAATTCAACAATCCCATCCATGGCAGAGGTCTGTGTAACTTAATTACAACCACTGATAACTTCACACAAAGTGGCAATCACCACAAATACCAGAGAAATGATAGGCTGATTAGACCCACAACCGGAATATCAATTAGATTTTGAGTTGAGTGATCTAAACACACTGCTTCCCAGCCTGATATAAATGCATCTATACATATGTATGCATGGTGAACTTATTTCACACCATAAGTAGCCAACCGTGTAATCAGAGGTGCAATACCACAACAAGATTGCTATTTGTGCAAAATAACACTAAATGTGCAAAATGCCTTTGGTGTATATCAATCACTACGTCTTTGGGGTATAGATTACAATTAGACAATGTAGGATTTGGCAACAATATGCATCAGCATGAAAATAATTGCATGATGAACTGGAGAATAGACATCTGAAAATTCACCTCCAAAACAGTCCAGGATTTGCCTTGGTTAAACAAACACAACTTTATGAAATAGGATTTTTTTTTAAATACCAACTACAATTTGCTGATTTGCTTAAATAGTTTTAATAAGAAAGTGAACATGTTTGGAGTCATTGTATGTTATTATATTAAGGGATCATTAAATTTGTATTTAAAGCTTTCGTGACTGCAGGGTTTCATTTCTTGGTTCTTTCGGTAAAGTCACGTAGAAGGGAAACAATAAAATAATAAAAATATAAAACGATAAAATTCTCACGACGTTTCGACTGCAACCCAAGCAATCATCATCAGGTGCGAAAAACCACAGCAAAAAAAACACTTTTTTCAAATTTTCTTATCGTTTTATATTTGAATTATTTAATTGTTTCCCTTCTATGTGATTTTACCGAAAGAACCACGAATATGGATCATTCAATCTTTATGACTTCTACCGGGAGAGCCAGAAACCAAGTGCACCTTTCAAAATGCTAAATCATGATGTGAATCAGGCCTCCTACTTTTCTCTGTTGCACACATGGTCATGTATCAATAGACTATGTTGCTAAACAAGAAAAAGGTAGTCTTCTTGTGCAACAACTGACAGCCATGAGTGTACTTTTGACATCACCACTAAGATTTGTACACAAACGCTCCCGAGCACAATGTTGGTCATTGGATGTTCAATGACACAGTGGAAACTATAAACTGACCCTGTTGCCGGGCTGTCCCATGGGCCCAATGCTCGGGAGGTTCCGTCGTTGCTGCATGGGTGTCCCGTGTGCCATTCCCCGTGCCTGCTTGTATTGATGTTGCGCTGTGGGCTGCAACCCAGCCGAAAAAATGTTTTCCATGAGCTGCCACACATGAAGAGAAAAACATTTAAACGTAACATTAGGAATGTAGGGCTCATTTCTAAAACCAGTGACGCAATATCTGTACTGAATACAACGAAGATTAACTTAATTAAATGTTATAGGCAAGTGAGTGAAGCTGCTCATGCCTGTGCTGATACAATCCTATTGTCCACACTGAATAGCGCATTTCCCTTTTCTGAGTGTAATTAAGCACGTGAGCTTGGATAAGATGATTCATTTGAAGGTAACATCAAATTGCATAGTACCTACTTCTGGGTGGAGATGTCACCGCAGAAAGAGTGTCATCGTTGTTGCCGCCGTTGGCTGGTCGGGACTACCGGGACCTCTAATGCAACTACCTGGACCACCAATGAGACCATCGGAGACTATAATCTGAACTCCTAGGACCACTCATAGGACCATCGCCTGGACCAATACTGAGACCACTACTGGGCCCACCAGATGCAATAGAACAACCAAAACCATCACTTAGAAAACCGGGACAATGGGGACGACCATGGATACACCATGAGGACCAATGGGGCCTTCACTGGGATTAAAAGGACCACAAATAGTAATGGTAAAATGAGGGGAAACACCAGGACCACCAAAACTGCAGAGATGACCAGAACACCACAGAACCACCATGAGCGACGATTGGGCCTCACTGGGAAAATCATTGGGATCAGGAAGTTGTGCATGTGCACATGCTCAGCGCTTTCAAAATGTGGAATTTCAAATGAACGTCCCACCATGTCTGGGTTACTCCTCATATCCATGGTTAAGTGTGGATAACAGGAACATCTACTAATCGATTTGGTGGGGGGAGGGTGTAATATGTAGCATGATCAATAATAGGGGTGTAAGAGGAGAGTAACTGCAGGTGGCACATTGGTTATAGCGCTAAACTTCCAATTGAAAGGCGTAAGTTCAAATCTCCAGGTGGTCAACTCCGTCATTCTCCCTGGGGTTGGAAAAATAAGTTCACCTGAATTTGACTTTGAAGGGCACCAACAGCAGCTAGCCTATGTAATGATTTGATTTCTACCCAAATAGTGGAATTTCCACAAATGACTCGGGACAATAAAGGGATATGAATGCCGATATGTTAAGGACATTGCCCGGTTCAGTTTAAATAAGCAATGGGGAAAAAATATGAAGACACCTTTATCCATAAAAGCCACACGAAGTATAATTTTGGTTTTCAATCATGTTCTGCTTCGGATATAAAGCCAATGTCATGAACGTAAATTTCCAAACAGGGGAAAAAATTTGCAAGGACCGGAAGAAAAACTCACACATGCAAGTACAGTAATCAAATTACACCCAAGCATATTTAATATATTATTAAGAATGATCTGCTACAGGCAGAGTAAGGACAGTTATTTTCTCAATTGAAAAATCAGTGACAATTGTGATGGCCTAGTAAGTACTTTATGACAAAAAAATTATAGCCACAAGTGAATTACTGAATGTAAACATCCATTTCTGATCAGGCCTACCAGATTACCCTTGCAAAAGGACAAACTTTGTCAGCAGGGCCTCACCTGGTTGAATGAAGGAACACGTTTGATAGCAAACAGCTACCGAGCGTATGAAATATAGGATAAAAATTACACAGATGGGGAGAAAATAAGGTGCAAACACAGTATCTTTTGAACCACAGCAATAATATAAGGGCAATGAGTGCGGGAAGGGAAAACCCATAGAGATGAAGGCCTGAGTGTAAGGATGTGAGTAATGATATCTACGGCAGTGTAAAATATATTACAGTGGATAAACAATGAGATTCAAGATGGATGGCGAAAAGGGAGAATAATGTGGAGTGATAGCAATGGATTAGAATGAGAACCGGTGTTAAATTTACAAATGCAAGTGTCTGATAAAATTCAATATATCACCATCGTTGTCACCAACACTGCTTTCCAACAGAAAACATGAAGTAACACTATGGATAATGGCTCTTCTTCGAAGGGTTATTTACTCCGCAATATCTTCTAACGGTAATGTTCTACGTCAAATATCTAAACATTTCTCAGTGTTTGTAAGAAAGCGTATTTTATTACTTTTTTAACACTATTACAGGCCAGTGAATCTAGTCTAGCTTCCCTTTATTCTGTCTGTTACAACTGGAACACTGAGAGTTAAAATATAAGTTGTGGGTCAGCTCACCCATATATCCAGCATGTATAACACGAGTATCACCATGTGGGAAGATGGCTGTAATATTTTATGGAGACTTGTCACACCTCCATATAACCCACAAACATTTTGGAAGGATATGCCAATGATATGGTTGAGGTCATTTAGCTCCGTGCACATTCAAACACGAGTATTTTGAACACGTGCCATAAAAGGACTGACTTACAATTGCCAAATCCCAAGGTATCCTTACCATAGTGGGGTCCTCTGTCACCACGCGCACCTTGGCCATTCCCATGTGCTGCCTCTCAGCCTCGCTGTCCTGTCGTTGAACCACAGTGCGCTTCATTCCGACCCTCTCCAGCACCGGAACAGTGTGGCTCAGGCCACCTCCTGGCACGGGGCTGCCCCCTGGTGGCAACTGCTGCACCACCTCACCAACCGCCTGACTACGCTGCTGCATGATGGACACGTTCCTGCGGGTGGCCTCGGCGGTGGCAGCGGCCGCCGCCTGATTGTAACCTAGCTGTCCCACCGCGGGGACTTTAGGCTTGACTGTGTTGAGGCGGCTTTTGATGCTCATCTGCTGTGGATGGACCAAGGCAGTGGATGCTGTCCCCTGCTGTGCGAACGGCTGCGAGTCTCTCTGCTGCACGACTGCAGGCTGTGTGCGAAGCTGATTGTTCAGCTGCTGCTGCTGCTGCTGCTGCAGTTGTTGGTTTGGTGGATGGTTCTGCTGGTGCTGCTGCTGCTGCAGTTGTTGATTTGGCGGTTGGTGTTGCTGCTGTTGCATTTGTTGATTTAGTGGCTGGTTCTGCTGCTGTAGTTGTTGATTTGGTGGCTGTTGTTGGTTATGCGGTGGCTGCTGAAACTGCTGTGCGGGAGTTTGCTGGTTGATGCGCTGCAAGAGCTCTTTCTTGCGCTGGCCCGCCTGCTGGTGGCGCCGAGCCTCCTTGCGACGCATCAACTCCTCACGGAGACGCTTCTGCTGCTCCAGTTTGAGGTGGTACAATCGCATCTCCTCATCCTCATCCTGGGCATAAAAAAATAACCTCCTTTAGTCTTACAAACAGCAAATCGCACGTACTGTTAGTTGACATGTAACAATTTACCGCCGTCACAAATCGACGGATTTTTGTAATGTTGGGTCACGATTTGATTAGAGTGCATTCTTTTTTAAAACAATGTAAATGTAATGCCTCCAGTGGCTGACGGGGGGGGGGGGGGGGGTCACGTGAACCAATAACATAAAACATATGAGAATATAATCGTCACATGCACGATTCGAAACAAGTACAGTCGGCATACAAATATATTTTAATTGACGAAATGATACATTGTTAAATGCGGTGTTGTTAGTGAGCACCACCTAAGACATTACACGAGGGGGCAAGTAAGGCCAGCACCACATTCGGAACTATGTCTCCCCAGTGCTGATGTTAACATAAACATATCACAGCAGGTACTAATTTCAGGCTGGGTTAACCTAGGGGTGGACCACAGAATTAGCCAATGCCATTGACCATGTGCATGGTCAGGTATTAAACCTATGTTAATTAAAATTAAAGTGCACGTGTTCATCAATTTAAGGCAGCCGTCCCCCATATGAAAGCAGGAACACACCAATAGATAATATTTTGATATGTGCATAACTGCATTCCTCACAAGTGTTAACATCAAATACAGTTAGCTGGGTTAGCCTTCATTGATCTGTACAAATGCCTTGTCAAAAGCATTTTTGCGAGTATTTTCTGTGGAAATTAGACTAGGTGGTGCTATGAAAAAGCATCCATCTCATGATCAGAAGGTTTAGAATTTGGTGCTCAAATCCCGGTTAAAAAATATATTGGCCTATCATCCTTCCAGGATTGATAACATGACTGACACTTGTGGTCAGTCATCAGTTTTCATCCGATTGGAGGACTGATCCCTGCCATGAAAACATGACATTTACAATACTGGATCAGGGCAGCCAATGGAGAAAAGTGTAGAGACAATGAATTAGCCTACCGATTCCATATTTGTAATGAATAATAAGTGGTAAAAAACAAATCTGTGAGGAAATAACACACAAACAATTATCAGTGAAACCAGCAACCTACCTAATCAACTGATATTCTGGCCAATTTGTAGCCCTTCAGGTTCTGTACTGCACACGTGTAGGCAAATCTGCATGAACCACCAATACCACCTCTAAAGTGAGGAATTACAGGTGGCTGTCACCACATCATGCAGTGCAATGTGTTCCGGTGGCATACAACATGCTCACTTAATGGAATGGATGGCCAACTTGCTAACTTAAAATACAGCCCCAGGGAGCACATAATTCGGGCACTTGGAAACACAGGCAGCAGGGAGCACTTAGGAAAATCCAATACATTGATGGCAAACTTATCAATTAGTTCCATTCTATCTCACTGGATATTAAATTATATTGCATTTTGGTCTCCCACCCCCCCCCCCACAATTCATTCCAATTGTGCTGTCAGTGTCATTTCATGGGATGAAAAATCCATTCGGAAATCTCAAGAGCAGAGCAGCCCAGCACATTAGAGAATAACCCACAAGCATTTTCTTACAGGACCCTACCGTAACGAGTGCACTTTCACACAGGTTCTACAATAAGATTGTCGCACAATGGTCAAAGCAATGTTTTTATTCTCAGAGCTGGAATTTAGCGCACAAATTACAATTAAATGTGATTCATTTTTGCGTGCAGTGAATCATGGCCTGGCTGAGACAACACCTTACCCAGCTATGCACTAACTTTTGAGCCACTCACTCTCCACCTATATTGAATAGAGTTATAAAATGTGCATAAAACTAGAAATCACTTAATTGCTGGGTGTGGTGTTGCACACATGTAAACCAGCTCTTTGCAGGAAAGGCTTACAGCTGACCCTTGGATGCGACTTCTCTGGCAACTCAAGATTCCCCCTCAAATAGAAAATAAATCCCAATTTATGACACTCCTAAACGACTTGTTGAAGCCTGAATAAAGGGCGTTAATAAAATGTACCATTATTTTACAATCACCAACAAAAATCAGCGACTCACTGCTCAAATAAGCATGGCGTGGTGTGCCCATCACCGCAAATTACGGAGATTTCTATGGCAGGGATAGTTTCTCCATAGGACAACCACTCCGTGCGTGAAAATCGACCCCAGAAGGACGATGGGCCATGTAAAACCCCGACAAAAATTTTTTTACGTGTGGGCTTCTAATTACAAGCAGACCTCCCTGTCCAGAGCACCAGCCAAATATATGGTGATGCTAAATAACATTGCTGCATCCCCGTATATTTTCCTACCACTATAAACCCATGCAATACATTTTTTTAATGTATCAAATGAACCAGTGTTAAAGTCAGTTATTAAAAAGACCACCTGCTCCAAGTAATGATATCTATCTTCTCATGAATCAATTATTGACCAATTAAACGCACACTGCAGTACATAAGTAGAGTTTTGTTGTTTGAACAGCAGTTTGCACTGCATAATACGTACTGCTCTGCCCCTGAAGTGCATTAGAACTGCAGTGTAAAGCCTTAGACAGGACCCAGAGGGGAGGCAATCGATTTTCTCTTCACAAGGACCTCCCATGCAGACCAAAGCCATTAGTCATTTAATAATGGCCTTTAATCAGCTGGCAGGCGCACTGCCACCTCCTTGTTAAACAGAATATCATATCAGCGAGATCATCCGTCTTCATATCAATCCTTCCTCTTCCCCCACAAATATGCTCAGTGGCTCAGGGACTTTGTTCCACGATGACCAATGGACAGTGAGAATGCACGCGGAGGTGCCCCCAAGGGGGTCACTGTGTGTTAGTGCAGGACCATAAATATCCATTAGGGCTGTCACTACCGCTTCCCACTCACTGGCCGCCAGCACACGAGGCATCACGGTGCACATTTCCGGGAATACAAATTGCACTTAAACACCCACGCGAGCGAGCAAGCATACATGCTGGGGCTCAATGGCTATGTGCGGCAATGCTGAATTAGATATTTTGTGTAGTGGCCTCCACTCAAATGTACTTAGATCAGCAAACAAAACCTCTCGCACTCTCTCTAGTATACTCTCACCACATACACGCAGGATTAATAACTATGTCGCTGCCTTGCACCGTTCTTCATTCTTAACACGTGGCAACATCGAGAAATCTATAACCGAGCCAACCAACTGTGAATTCAATTAGCGTCGGACGAAAGGATCGATCGGCCATCACAAACAGGTTCTGTGAGCAGTGGGAGGATAGACTGAGCTCTTTCCCCAGGGACTCCTAAGGTTTACATTTGTCCTCCATGAGCCCGGTGCCCTGGGCAGCCTACAGGAACATTAGCTCCCCATTATTGCTTTTTTGCCAGTGTAAGGAATAAACCAATAGTTTGTAATCAAATTTCATTAGTCACCTTTGATCTGTAATTAAACCAGCTTAAAAGGAGAGTGTCAGTGTGTGCAAAATCAGGGTCCGTCACCGATATTTGCCGTGCTTGAGTTTATCAGGAACACAAATGTGTGACATCAAAATGCATAATCTATAAACAGTGAAACCTGTGTGCAACAACTGACCGTGTCTAAATGAGTATCCATTTACAGAAGGGCAATCTACTACACGAGATTTGTCTAAGTGAGACAAAATATGCTCCCCTCTCAGTCAACCATGGTCGCTGCCCATGGAATTTCGACAATAATTTCCTATATCTTGGCAATTCCTGACATGATAAAATGTCCATCAAAGTATAATGATTTCCTCATAAATACCGGAAACATCAAGCTGCATGACGACATGTGACTTGACGTTTTAAGGAAGCCGATAGGATACTTACTGCTATGCTTGGGAAATATTATGACTGTCCATCCATCGGAGGGAACATGTTTCCAGTAAAACTATAAAATCCCTAAATCAATCTCTACAAAACTTACCACACATAATGAATGCCAATGGCCACATCTGTGTAGTTTTGGGGAAAATTGTTTACAAAATACCTGAAGGGGTTTAATTACATTAATGATATGCTATGTATGCTCTGTAGCACGGTGATGAGGCCTTGTTAGAACATGAGTACAAATGCATATGTTTGCACACTAAATGTGTATGTTTGTGTGGTTGTGTGCTTGCATAAGCTACTTTCGAAAGCAGTTACATTACGTAACAAAAGCAAACATGTTTTTCAAATGATGCTCGGAGCGAAGCAAATTAAAAGAACAAAAAAACCTAGTTATAACAAATTCAATTATCGGATTACCATTCATGCCAAATTAGACAGTGCTCATTAAAATGACTTAACATCACATCCAATGACACATATCTTGATAGTTTTCATATTTATAAGATTAGAACATATCTATAGATGTGGCACTGTGGTCAGAGCACTTAACCCGCAATTATCAGGTCGCAAGTCCAAATATTTGTGGTCAATACAGCCCATCGTCCTTCCAAGGCAGAGAAAATTACTACCAAATTTGCGTTAAGTCAACAGTTGCTATCCTATTAAGAGGCTTACCCCCCTGCCACAGAAATGTTAAATTTCCACCACTAGCTCTGGTTCGCCACAGGAGACAAGAGCAACCCCCCCCCCCTCCCACTGCTCATCTGCATGGGTAGACACTTTCTCTTTGGACTGCTCCAGTAAAGACGCTCACCTGTGCCCCTTGACCCTTCTCTGTCACTGGTTCAGGGTTTCTCGGTGCCCCGCTCGCCTGTACTTTAGCGTGCGCTGTTCCACCTACGACCGCCCTGCCCATCTGTGGCCCCCGCTGCATGGAGGCTGGAGCAGGTTTCAGACGTCCAGTCAAGCCCTGTGTTGGTGTGGGCTGGTTTGCGGGCCGAACACCGCTTGCCCCCAGCAGCCTCTGCTGCCTGTTGGCGGCGTTTGCAGCAGCAGCAGCAGCGGCGGCGGCAGCGGCGGCGGGGGTGGTGTTGGCGGTAGCAGCAGGGGTTGGGGGCAGCTCGACCTTGGGTAGCTCACGCAGGTTTCGGGGAGCTGGTGGGGGTGGCTTGGACAGTTGCTGCTGATTCGGCAGGTTCTGTGCAAGGGTCAACAACAGAGGTTAATTTAAATAAACGGGTAATGTGAAATAATATATTATGTCTACCAAGAGGGTTTCTTTTGAAGTAATGTTTTTACCAGTATTGTTTTTAGTGAAGGCACACTCTGGAAAATGCACTTGTCCGAGTAGATGTGCGATTCCGTTCAAAGACAGGACAATTATGCAATGTATCAGTAGATTGTATTACAAGTGATCCAATTTGGCTATGAAAGAAAATGCCAGTGAAGCGAGCAAACACTTTCTCAAGAGTGTTTACACAATATAATACAAGCAGGTTTTAAGTGAACCATTTAAAAAACACGTAAACATGAAGTATACATTTCACTAAGTTTATCGACATAAACTAAATATGTACACTCAATGTGTTTCCACGTTTATGAAATTACAAAATACTGAAAGCATATGTTTTTGTTATTTGTGACAAAAAAGACGAGAATATATCTTACTGCTCTGACTTTAGCTTGTCCAGGAGCTTGCAGTCTCTGGACCCTGTTTGGTGCCTGCGTTGGAGATGGCTGTTGTCTCACCCCTGCCTGAGAAGGGTGCAAACCCTGCATGGAAATCTGGTCCGGTGGCCTCTGGTCCATGTGCTGTTGATGTGGGCTGTGTTGTCCAAACTGGCCCTGTTGTCCAAACTGGCCCTGTGGTCTTGGCTGGCCTTGCAGCCCAGGATGGGGAATGACTTCATTTCTCACTGAGTGTGGGTGCTGGTTCCTTGGCTGAAAAGGGGCTGCTGCTGCTGCTGCTGTTGCTGCTGCTGTTGCTGCTGCTGTGCCATGTTTGACTGCATGATTGGCCGAAACGGGGCCTGCTGATGTTGGTTCTGATGCTGATGTTGATTCTGATGCAGTTGAAGTTGCTGTTGCAGCTGCTGCTGCACCTGCATCTGAAAGCCTTGAAGATTGATATTCATGGAACGCAAACTCATTGGCTGCTGGTTGGCCTGCACACAAGCACGTGAAGTATTACACATTCAAAAACGTGGAATACACTACACACCCAGCCACCATTACCATCATCACAACTATACATGCATTTACACTATGGGGACCTCATTTGCCAGTAAAAATATGATAATTGGTTCTTTACCCTTCTATCTGGCAACAAAACTGACACCTTTTTGCAAGGAGTCATGTTTGCATAGACCGCAATACCTGCAGTCATAATACAAACAAAAGAACATAACTCTGATAATGTGCACTGTCCTTGAAGTTGATTGGTCCACACCCGAGACAGCCATATGAGACTAGGCTCGAAGGAAAGCTGTCTCGGGTGTGGACCAATCAACTTCAAGGACAGTGCACATTATCAGAGTTATGTTCTTTTGTTTGTATTATGACTGCAGGTATTGCGGTCTATGCAAACATGACTCCTTACAAAAAGGTGTCAGTTTTGTTGCCAGATAGAAGGGTAAAGAACCAATTATTATACATGCATTTACAAACATGCCAGGTTTCACGTTCAAATTGAGCTTAAAGAGTAACAATTTTCACAGGAATACATTTGACCAAAAATGTAAATTTATCCAAACAAAATATGCTTTGCGAAAGAACACTATCTCGGTGTTGTGGTACATGCTACTAATCCTCTGCATTGGCAGTGAACTCCTGAAAATGTTATTTGGAAAGACTTTCCCGGGCAAAGGAAAATATTGCTATAATAATGACATTAGTGCAGTGAACACACCTGCATGGGAATGAACGGCTGGTTTGACAGCGGGTTAAACGGGGCTTGCTGTCCTGGAAAGTGACGGGGCCCATGCATGTCTGGTTGCTGCTGTTGATACATCCCAGGACCACCTGGTCCACATGGCCCACCTCCTGGCCCACCAGGGCCAATACCAGGCCCACCATGCCCAATGCCAGGCCCAATGCCAGGCCCAATGCCAGGCCCAATGCCAGGCCCAATGCCAGGCCCAATACTAGGACCGCTTGGTCCAATACCGGGATGACTGGGCCCAACATTAGGTCCACCAGGCCCACCCGGTCCCCCACCGAGACCAACAGGACCTCCAATGGGCCCTGCCAGCCCTGCACCTGGACCACTTGGTGCACTGGGCCCACCTAGGCCACTTGGCCCATCCCTCATGAACATGGACTGAGCAGAAAGGCCTGGTCGTGGGCCATTATTGCTAAAACCCAATGGCTGCTGTGGGTTGGGGTTGTTGAAGCCCATTGGGGCTGGAGGAGCAGGCGGCTGTCCGGGGAATTGTTGATGATGACCACGGTCATAGTGCTCGAACCCTCCTTCCCCTGGGAAATGGTGCTCTGAGAGAGAGTGGGGGAGGGAGTGACATGGGATGTGTACGACAACATTTTAATTCGCGAAATATGATTATGCCCACTTAAGTTGTCATCTTCTTATGTAGAAATAATAGAGTTAATATAAAATACATTTCCCAAGTAATAAAATTACAAAAGGCTATTGAATGCCAAATAGGGACATTGGTGAAATACTTTTTAAATTTGCAAATTAAGCCAAATAAACTTCACGCTTGATAATTTTACTGTTAAAATGCTTGAAATAGCCAAGTCATCAAGCAATTTCCTCATGATCAGGTCTTAAGTTCAAATGTCATAATGCCTCCAGTGGGTAAAACGAACAGCTCCTGGTGATAACCACTTTGGGAGAAGTCAGCAGCACCCTTCCCAGGAACGACAAATTTCTATCGCTTACCCATGACCCATTGTCAAGAACACTAAATAGTAATGCTCAAAAGAGCATGATAAACTTTGACATCAGTCAACAATGTTGTGGTAGGTTAACAGTAGTCATCCTTGAGACTGGTCCCCATCTTAAGAATGCAGAATTTCCACCACTGATTATTTCGCCATGGGGAACAGTACCCTCAAATACCTATTTGAACCATGAGACAATTCGCTTAAGACTTTATAAAGAAAAAAAAAACACAAGTTGTGCACACTGACAGCAGCATATTGTACCTCTATTGAAGAAGTCATCATGGCCCACAGTCCTGGGAGGGCCCCACTGCTCAGGGCCATTGGGTCCAGGCCTCCCATCAAATACTGGGGGTCTCTGTGGTATGGGAGGCGGAGGCTGCTGCTGCTGCTGGCCTTGGGGTGGTGGTGGTTGCTGCGGAGGCTGAAATTACAAACAGCGGAAACCGGTGAGGTCTGTTGGCCAAAATCCCCAGTCACCCAAACACCACCCCCCCTCCTCCCTTCTTTATCTGCTATCTGTCCTTCATTTGTAACTAGCTTAGTTTTAAGATGGGTTTTAAAGTGGAACAGTCAAAGGTTGAGCTCATAAATGGTGAGGATGAAAGATATTGTCTTGCACATCTCAGGCAGCTAGAGATAAATTCTTTCCTCAACACAGCACTGCCAGCAAGGAATGAGGTGTTTAGAAATCCAAATCCAATACCTCTTCAACTCAATGGTGGACCCATCTTTCAAAATCCCAGTCTTATCCTTCTCATTACCCTTAATCCTCTTAGCCCACTGGCTACAGAGCCGTAGCTGCCATTCAGCTGACCCACCATACTACAAATTGCCTCATAACGTACTGAGCCAGGCTAATTGTTTTGATGTTATCGCTATTAATCCAGCTTGAACGGTGGAATGACGGAGAGGGCTGCAGCCGAGTGCTTTTCGACACCTCCATTAAAATGCAAATCCTGGGCAGCTAGGGAGAAATAGCCGAACCCAGGCAGATCTGGCGAGCGTGCCGTCATCTTGCGGGTAAAGTAAAAAGGGGAAAGTAATTGCGGTTTGCTATGATATGACTGTTCATTTACCCATACAAATCAGCCTAATCAAACAATTTATCCACATACAGCGGCGCAGACAAGCTCATAATAACGCCGCTCAATTCTGATTAGGCGATGCGCTTCCGTGCTTGTGGGGCCAGGGTAATGGAGCCCTGATTATACAGATTGATGAAGTGGGCCCACTCCCGTCCGCACGCGCCATAATGTAGAGGCGACTTGCCTAACTACCAGACACAAATCACTTGGTGGGGCTGCGAGCGCTAGCTGGGCCCTCCGCACACAGACACTGACAAATGAGCGCTCATAATGACCACTCCGATAGCGCTCACAAGAGCCATTCATCTTGCGCACGCCACATTGTGAGGCTCAGCGCTGCTGTCGAAGGACACCATTATGCAAAAGTGAATCAAAGCCAGCCAATCTTAACTGATGTATAGCATGACATGTGTAATGGGTTTTATGGTCCGGGTTTAGCAGAACATACATTTTCTTCAATGCATTAAAAATGGCTAAAAGAACGGGAATACCTACTCTACCTTTTGAGGGAAAACCATGACCCCCCCCCATATTCGAGGCATTACAGTCAACTTACATTTTAGCTCATCCCAGCTTAACCTGAACGCAAATAAACCTGTGTTCTCCTTGCCGTATGAATTTTAATTAGCGCGGAGTTGTGTCCTTTGTGCAAAGGTGACATGAGGCTGGCTGGAGGCAGAGCTAAAATTAGCCAACATGTCCACAATCACAGTTGAGCAAATGCTGAATCTGTACATCGTTCCACTTTAGCATACGTCTATTTCCGGTGATTTAAAAAAAAATCATTTAGCTTCTGCGATTCACAGGAGAACATTAAAAAATGACTGCAAATGCGCAACGAAAAAAGTTGTACGAGTATATACGCATGTCCACAGTGGCTGTCCTACAGACTGGCTCCCACCATAAGAATGTGGCATTGATACCATCAACTAAGATGATTAGCACGGTCGGCTACATGCGGTGCGAAAGAAGTTCAACATACTATGTGTGTTAATTGAAATACGTCAGCACAAAAATTACACACTTTTCTATGCTATAAAACGTTATAAGTATTGTATAAGACTAAACAGCAAAATGTATACAAACAACCGTTTCAAAAATGGGTTTATCAAGGGCTTTTCAGGTCAAATAAGAGCAATGACAGTTCACAAAAATACATCACCTTTAGAAATGCTATCCCACTCACAACCAGGACATAAGCACATACACTTAATTATTTTTTTATAAATGCATATAGGATGCATTGAATAATATAAAGAGGATAAAAGTCTAGTGTTGGCATAATTGTATGAAATTATCTCAATTAATTGGAAACCCAGTGAGACTGTAGTAAATTTGTGTTGTACTGGATATCTTACTGGAAAGTGTTGAGGAGCCGGACTAATTCCAGGTTGGTTTGGCGTTGACATCACTGGTAATGGCACTGTGGTAAAACAAAGACAAAATATAAAACAATGCAGGAATATATGTTCATCAATTGTTCATGCACAATTCGCAAGATCAGCTATACGCAAAGATTAGAAACCAACGTCAGGACAGCAGGCACTATTTAGCTGTCATCCCTGAATGAGCAAGTCATTGCAGCATTTATTTTCACATGCATCCTCAAAATTTAATTTAGGACCTCACACAGTGTCCCAAATTTTATGGGTCACAATTGGGCCAGCTCTCACTATCTGGCACAAAGGCAGACCCCTTCCTGGGTTACTAACATCTGTCCCCTGTGCCCCTATCCATCATGAGCGGTAGAATGGGGCCTCAGCCGCCCTGCATACCAGACCTCCCACTTCACAGATGGGTGATTCACCTTCATGGGATAGGGAACATTTAATTTGCCCAAGACTTGAATTCAATTACCAAATATGCATTTGTTCTTTACAAGGTAATTTTGCGTCCAATACTTCCACACATCATTCTCCTTTGTAATTTGTGTTTTTAAATGGTTACTTCAGAGGTATAAAATTAGATTTCAAATAAACAGCACAATAAAGTAACTCACGTCTTACTGTCCAGAGATAAGCCATACATTTCCAATAAACGTATGTAATTTACAAAGGTCACAATTTTAAACCAACTGCATTTCACAAACTGGTCACATTTATTATACAAGGTGATCAGTCAATGATTGGTCAAAATAGATATTTTGCTCTTCACAAAACACCAAGATTTAGTCGTAGAAACGAACTTATAAGAAATGCAAATATTCATACACATGCAAGAGATAATTACTCGTATGCAATTTGGGTAGGTTTGTTTAAGCATCATAGTGGATAGAGCGCATGACTAGCAAATGGACAGGAACGAGTTGGAAATCCCTGTTTGTATGATCTGTACAAAATTGTAGAAAGACAGCAAAGTCAACAGAGGTTAAAGGAGATACGACAAATTATATAAAATGCATGAGAAAGTACAAAAACGATAGCGTAAGAGAAAGATAGGAGAGACATGATGGTAAAAATAAGGAGCACCATCAAGACCGCTTACACAAGACAGAGGACACAGGCACGCAAGCCAGCATCAAAAACACAGTACAAATAAAGCACAAAAGTATTACTTCTTGAATCAAACCATGACCCAGGATCATGACAATATATTGCATCAAAGGATAACGGGTGACTCATTACATGCCCAATGATGAGGTGCCCAGGCCACCGGTTGGATGCGTTACCGATTGGAGGCGACGCAGTGGATGTGGGGCCGCGGAAGTGTGGATTGATGTGGATCTTCTTCGAGTGCTGCTGCTGCTGTTGCTGGATGGGTGTTGGGGAGTGAGGCTGACGCACCTCCAGCCGAGGAGCCTCCAGCCTAGGAGGTGGCTCGTGCCTAGGTGGCTCGTGCCTGGGCACCGCCACCACACTGGGCACCTCTGGACGGGGCACTTCGTTGCGGGGTGGTTCCTTGCGGGGTGGTTCCTTGCAGGGGGATTCCTGGCAAGCGACCACCGAGTGCGGAGCCATCTGACAGGCAGCCTCCTGGTGCGGCGGCGCTTGGCGTGGAGCCGTTTGGCATGGAGCGGCTTGCTGGGAAGGCACCGGACGAGGAACCACGGCGCGAGGCGCCACAGCTTGTGGAGTCGCAGCACGTGGAGCGGCAGGCCAGGGACCCGAGTGCCGTGGAGTCGCAGGCCGGGGACCTGCCTGCTGTGGAGCGGCCGGCCGGGGACCTACCGGCTGTGGACCCGCAGGCCGGGGACCTGCTGGCTGGGGAGCCGCTGGCCGAGGGGTCTCCTTGCGTGGGGCCTCCATGCGGGGCAGCTCTGGACGGATGGGTTGCCGGGGAGAATCTTGTTTGGGGGTCCCTTGTTTGGGGGTTTCTTGTCTGGGAGTCTCTTGCTTTGGGGTTTCTTGCCTGGGCGGCTCCTGCCTGTGGGTTGCTTGACGTGGAGCCTCTTGACGTGGAGGCTCCTGCCGGGGAGGCGCTTGCCCATAGGGTTCGGCACGAGGACCCTCGTGATGTGGGCCTCCCTGGTGGGGCCCCTCTTGGCGAGGATGAATCGGGCCCCCTCCACGGGGCTCATGAAAGTGAGGGACCGGTGAGCGGAGGCCCTGCTGTTGCTGCTGGTGGAAGTGAGGGCCGCCCATGCCCATGTCTGCGCGGCCGCCTCCAAACATGAATCCCATGCCACCACCTCTCCCGAAAAATGGCATTGGGTGGTCCATCAGTCCACCCCCCTATTGGGCAGGAGGGAATATCGTAGCACACAGAAAGGTCATTTAGTGCATACAAATAACATTGGGAGCACAGTGCATTGGTGATGACCAATACTGGACATCCTCATACACATCACTATGCAGTGATGTAATCTGTCTACCTGCATGCATGCATATTGCTTGATTTGTGTCCAATGTAGCCATGTCAATAATCAATATCAACACTAAGCCACCAAAGCTTCTCTATTTTGCATGTGTTCGAGATTGTGCATGTTGTTCATATAATTTACAACATTGTGTTGTAGACCCCACAAGGTGAGAAATATTAATATAAATTGAATGAAATGTTTCACATTTGCATGTTTGACAATTGTGAAATATAATGATTCATTACATGGTTAATTTCAACATACCACGCCTACAACATATCATTATTTGCACAATACTACTGAAAGTGATTTTTAAGGCCGCATAGATGCTGCAAACACACAAATGGAACTAAACTTTTACCTGTGATTTCCAATAATTTGAAAAGGTCGTCAACTTGAAAATGATTGAAGAAAGTTTGAAGTTTCACAAAACAAAGGGCAACTATTAATACCATGAGGTGCATGCAATGCTCAAAAATGAGCCGTGTTCTTCCGAATTATAATGTGCCAGTTCATAAAGCCTGTTTTCACCAGGCAAAAGTTTTCAATAAATATAATTAACCTGATATGATTTCTGAAAAAAAAATTATATGATCAGACATTAACTACTCCAAACATTTGTATTTTTCTGAAAAAAATACCTAAATTGTTGATGACTTGATTCAACTTCTTATATTTGAAGACGTACCCCCACAGGAAAACGCTCAATTTAAAGATTCTGTAAATGTTTTATTAGAAAGAACAAAAATGTATGAACTCAATACTCTGAGGGGAAGCTCCTATCTTTTACCATTTTCGAATTGAGATTTTAAAACCACTTTAATCCTAAATATGTCAAAAACAATAAAAGATAGAATGGTTCTCACTTAAATTAAATTTGTTTTGCTCTATCAAAGGAAAATACCGCAATCTTATATTTTGAACAGTATCTGAATGGGGCGCTTAAAATCGAGATTTCTGGGGTTTAAAATTACACGTCGGATTTTCTTATATTATTTATTTTCCAGTTGTGTCCTAAAAGATACCCATGTACCAAATGCCAGCGTTCTACCTTGTGGGAAGCACCACATACAGATGAAGGTTTTGATTTATATAGATTGGCTACGTTGAGGAATCAGCATCAGTGTGGGAAATTGACCGTGATGTACCTACGGAAAATGTATTGCAGTGCAATGTGCACAATTATGTATACAAATTTCAGTTGCAAAACTCATTCCTAAATGCATAAATTGGACATACTTTAATACAAATTAGAAAGCAAAATAATTCATTACATTGCTGCAACATTGTAGCGAGCCGAGGTCAAGTCCAGATTCTCCGTCAATGAGTCTTTGTAATAGCAACATGACATATTGTTAAGAACTACAGGATACTCAATCTAGTGGGACACTATGAAGGTCGCTCTCATATAGAGAAGAGACAAAGGTCCTCCTTCAAGGCTTAAAAGCCTGTCAGGAAAGTGCTAATAACCACGATATGTTATGATCAGCAATGGACACTGGAATCCGTTGGAACACCAACACATTTGGCCACCTTTAACCTTTACTTTAAGGAAACAGAAAAACGAGCACATGGATCAGAGAAGAAATGCTAATTCATGAGACGCTTTGGTGGCTCAAGGCAGTGGGCTTGGGGCAGGTCGCATCACGAGAAGCGCGGGGTGTTTGCAATGGAAACAATTGCAGACAGAATGGCAGTCAATGGAGGGGACACGCCCAAGAAGATAAACACCAAGGCAGAGCCATGAGACCGAGTGAAATATATTGTGCAAGGGAAGGGTTCATTCAGCAGTAGAGAAGATAATGGCTGATGACCCTGTTTGTTATCACCACTGGTGCCACGCAACAGAATATTTGTGTAAATTTTAAGAAGAGGATGATTTAGGTAACATAAAAACACGTAAGCTACTTTGCAAATACAAAAACAAATACATTCAGCGTTATTTTGCAACGTAACATCATTAATAGATATTTTACCAAAAACTGCTTCACTGGATCTCAAAACACAGTAGAGTAATGCTGAGTCCGTTTGGTCAATTACGTTTGAATATTACACTTTTGATACAAAAAACCAGGTGAGCAGAAGGAACCCATTCATACTCATCAATGATAGGTTAAAAGCCGACTGAATGTACTGCCCCTGCAGGAACCTCCTGCCCCAAAACATGTGGGTGCATCTGAATTACCTCCTATTCCCCCATTACAATCTCTGTTATAAAGTTAATATCAAGTTCAAATGCAAGTGCTGTAGCTTATATATTAATGTACAGTGTCATTGAAAAGTAGGACCGAACCTACATTTTAAAAGGCAAAATCAAGCAAAACTGTCGAATTTTGTGCAAACAAGGTTTGACAAAAGATTGAAAGCAACAACAAAAAACTATTCTAATTAATCATGCACAAAAACTCTGATAACACCACAGTTTACATCTGAACCATATTATATTATAATGTAAACACCGGCTATTATCAGAGATTTGTTCATGAAGCCATCCAGATATATAAACACATACACAACTTCAACCAAGAAGATGGGTACAAACTGAGCAATCATTGGAAGGACGTTATTAACCAGGTAAAGTCTTAACTGACTGTGATGTCTCCATCCGACCTGCCCATGTCAGCTGTTATTTCCGACTCTTTCTGTGTCTTTCTCTCTCTCTCTTTGTGCTGCCCTGTTCCCCCCCCCCCCCTGCAGCCGACCAATCCAATGCTGCTGCGGTGACTCACTTTACTCCACCTCATGCCACGGCAGATCTCTCGCCTACTTCAGCAGTTTTTTCTTGCTGTGGTTGTCCCACCCGATGACGATTGCTTGTATTGCGATCGAAACGTCGTGATCTATTATTTTTCTACCTACGTGACTTTACCGAAAGAACCAACAAGTATGTAAACAAAAAACTTTGCTCTTTTTCACCAATGGGTTTGAAGGATGGTGGCAAGTGTTGTCTTGTTGAACTATGCCTTTAAAACTGAAAACTACTTGCCTGCAGTACCTCTATTTAAATATACTATCGAAAAATGATTTACACCCCTCTTTCAATCATCGTGTTTCTCAGTGTGGATTTCGGAGCACACTTTTTAAACAGTGCATAAAATAGTACGCATTTTCAATGCACTGTTCATATTGTAACAAGCGTTTATACCAATGTTACTCTACAGAGTAGTGGGTCGCCGCTCCTCTTATCCGCATTGATACGAGCGGTATGTGGGGACTATGGCTTAACTGCAACAACAAAAAAACCTATCTGCACAGATGCATACGGACAAGAGATATTATCAATCAGGTAGAATTAACGGTGCAACGCATCTCATCTTTTAAATATCTGCAGCTAAATGGATGGTCAATGTCTGGCTGCAGACATTGGTAGGTCACAAATAATAATGAAGATAAGAGAGCAGTTTCACTGTATTATGCATATCGTGATGACAAATAAAGGACTTAAGTCGTGTAGGCAGTTTGAGCAGCTTTGGATAAGACTTGTGATCCTGCCCATACCCGAGCATGGAGGGCATTCACTTGTTCAGCTATTCTGCGTATTCGTCCTCGCTGCGCTTGGACGACATAACAACAGAATGATCTGCGCCAGGTGGGTCGCGGCGTTTATGTGCGCGGTGGGACGGAGTCGCCAAAAATAAATTAATTAAGATTGACTTCCGTTTATTCGGGACCCCGGGGTCCCGCCATAAGGTTCATCTATGTATGTAAATAAAAATTGCAAAACATATTTGTTATGTTTAACAAAACTCAAAACACATAAAATGAACACGTTGTGAATATTTCAATCAGTTTATTAGAAACAGCATGTGTACATTTACCTGGAATCTGAATTGTGGACCTCTTGATCCCATCATGAAGTGCTGCATGTGGTTGTGCTGGTGGTGCTGGAACATAGGGTGGTCCATGCCCCTACCCTGCGGACCCCAGCCCATGCCCACCGTCTGCTGGCCCACACCCCCCCTGTTGCCCCGGGCCCGGCCCCTGCCTCGCCAGTGCTGCTGCTTGCGCTGCATCTCCTTATCCTCAAATTCTTGCAGCTGCTGCTTCATTTCGTCGGAGAGTTCTGCAGAAGGTGGGAGATGTTGTGGATATGATACAATCCAATCTGGTTTTATACATTATACAAAATTATCTCCAACCAGAGAACTGATCTCCAGCCAGAAAACCATGGTTATAGTACTGAAATCACAATCAAGAGATTCCAAATAAAAAATCTGGTTGGAAGTCTACTTAGCTCATGAGCCTTTCCGAGCTTGTGAAAAGTCAACCGAGGTTGTCCAACTATATTTGCCTCCATTGTACGAATGTGGAATTTATATCACTGGATAAGACAGATCTGCCAAGCAACACCCAATAATCACTTGAGCAAATAGAAAATGTTTTGAGGCAATTCACTTCTAAATGATAAAGCCAAAACACATCATGGATCATTTTCCCAATCGTGGTAACATTGACACTGGTATGCTTTTGCCAAACAGTGGACGAAAAGCAGCATTCACCAACACATGAATGACAGTTAAGACTTTAAGAACAAGCCTTGCAGATCAGTGGGAAGCTCTGTACCCACTACGCTCTTAATTCAATCATTACATTCATAGTGCTCCACATTATTCTGACATTTATTACTGGAACATAAACAGTGAATTGTTGAGACTGAATAGTTAAAGATGTAGCTCAAAAATAAAATGGTTGCTTTATGTACATGCATGGGTTGGCTATGACAGGCTGTCCCCACACAAATGTGAAGTTTTGGAGGGAATTTTTAAAAAAACTGTCAGCCACATGATTTTCAGGACAACTGCTCTTTGGTCTTCCATTGAAGTCAAAGCCAGATGGGATTATTTTACCTGCAATTTTAGGTGGGTGCCACCCTATCACCTCTGCTACATCGCTAATTGGTTCATGGAGCAAGCTGCTGTGCATGTTCGTGAGCATAAGGAGGGGAATTTGAATTCCCTTTATTGAAAACCCTACATTCTCCTTTAGACGGAAGCAGAATTTCTGAGGCGAATCGGCAGGTTTTCATTTACAGAAACCAAGTTTTTTACGGATGCATTGCCATGGAACAACATTGCTCTGATAGTTAAGTAAAATAATAGTCAGTTTTGTGGGTAGCATTTTACAATAATCTACCAGCTTTTGACGAGAGCTCTTTTGGTCAGGATCTGACTCACCAAGTGTGTCAGGAATCTCTCTGTTGGTACGCGAGGTGCTGATCAAAGAACGAATGACCGAGCCTTCCTTGCGCTCTGTCTTGAATCGCAGACGGCCCGAGTCATCCTCATCTTCCTCATCATCCTCCAAGAGCCCATCTTCTTTCGTGAAATCTGGTGTCTGCTAGACCACATGCCATCCAGCAGCAAAGAGTGACAAACACACATTTGAATTCATTGGTAGTCAGGAATTATCAGATTTGTTGCATGCGAGATTTTTTAATTAACAATATTATGATGGGGGACAGAGTTGATGCACTGACAAATAAGATTTGCACCAAAGGAAACGGTGAAAGTTCAGTTAAAAGTTAATAAAAAAATGTGTTCAATAATTTTTGTAAGATCAAACAGATAGTCGTGGACAATTACAGGAGTTGGTATTCATATATCTCAAGTGCAGAAAAAAGGTCACAAGTTAAGCTATTTGAAAAAAATAAGTTATAACCATGGGAAGGCAAGAGAGGTGGGGTGGTAGGAGGAAACAGTGTGGGATGTGTGACATGCCATTGTGGGGACTTGTAATCTAAGCATGCATTAAATTAAAAAAACCTCATTACTTAAAACAATTATCAAATTAAATTACAATAAACTCACTGTTTTTGAAAGCGTTAAAAAAATTGTGTACCAGCTAAGATAAATTGATAAATTTTAAACCCATTTATAAAACCAGAAGAATCTAGAGATAAATCATTTCTAAGTTGGGAAACTCATACTTGTTAGATCTGGACCCCAGTGAGATCCATGTGTTTCCATAGCTTAAGAATCACTTTCCAGGTAAGCACATCTCTGTGATGCATGATATGATCGAGTGGTTTGTTGAGAAGACAACAGGAGTTCTTCCTGACAAGGATTAGTATTGGGACATTAATAACCAAGGTATAGTATTGCTCCGTCAAATGACAGGATTTTTATATCATCCTTTGTACCTTACACACAAAAAAATAGACCACACATGAGCATGTCCTACTGAAGTATGAGCATGATATATTTTAATGTTGTATTTTGCTGTATATTTCACGAGTACACATTTACCCGAGTCTACATTCCGATATAGTAGTTTTTTCTATCACTAAAGGTTGTATATACTCATTCCCCACAAGTCACCACCACCCTCACCAATGTCGAAAGCACAATTCGCATTGGTCTCTCTCTGCTAGGGCCACCCTATGGCATCAACACAATCTTCACAGTGGTAGACAGCTATTTGATATGTTTCAATGGCATTGAGTTGCAGAAGCAGATCCACAACACTACAATACCAATATCTCGACAAGACTGATCCGGTTCCAGCAGATGTAGGAATTCTGTTTTGAACGTTGCCATCCTCCTCGGAATGCTGGTGTATTCTCGGGGCAGTGAACTACACCAACCATGTCACCATGCACACCACGTTCAGACTGGTCGTGCGAGTAATGTCTACTTGTCTAGCATAATGCTACACCGTATTCCCAGAAGCGGATAGATTATTTTTGTTCCACCAGCATCACAACACCTGGGTGGTAGTGCACGCATGTGGGAGTTTTATTGTAGAAGAGGCGAGGTTGATGGTGATGGAGAGGAAAAGCACTTTCCACTTTCCATGATGATGCTAAGAAAGAGTCAAGCTGACTGACTAAGTGCTGTATAAGGACAATATCAGTGGGGGAAATGCCCCAGGTGTACCTGGTCAGCTGCCTTGTTGAAGTACTAATGCAGGCTCTCTTGTTATGCATTGAGCAGGCCAGGCAAAGAGCAATACATATCCAGGTATGGCCGTGGTACAGAATATTCAGTATAGTGCTCCAATAGACAAAGATATATTTTGTACGTATTTTCAGGAACTTTCCCAAGCTTTGAAAGATGTCAAAATAAATGTATTTCATTATCTTGTGAATGTTATTAATTTCACCAGAGGCATGCTCCTACGCAGCTTTTGAAAGTGCTATTATTAGAAGGCAAAGAGCATGTACTGCTGTTAGCCATGAGCCTAAGCCTTTCAGCTCCCAAAGGGCTGATGCCTGCCTAGTCATGTGCAGAACACAGGAGAGAATTGCATTTCAGGCAGGAAGGGGCCTGCTTGTGTAGCTCTAGGGTGCCACAAAATGTTTTATACAGTCGAGTTCAAATTTACTCTATCCAATATTTAGTTTTGGAATGCTAAAACATGTTTGTAAAATATATGCATGAAGTTAAAGTCCTGCAAAAAATGTGCAATGAGGTGGCAGCTCGTGGAGATTTGCAGCCCCTAAGCGAGTAGTGGAAATGTGGCATTCCCATGGTAGAGTCAGTCACTGCACAGGATGACCACTGTCGAAGTCCTACAAAACTATACTATTTGATATAGGAGCCTCCCCTATTTGGGAATTAATGTGAGCAGAAAAAACTAATTCTTTACATGGTCCCCTAAAAGTGTAAAACACTTAGTGTATCAATATTTCAAAGCTGTAATTCCCTGCTTTGAAGATATTTTTCTTTGCTCCATAAAACCACGAATTGACAGAACTTTCCTTAATTTTCACCCGAATGTTATTTTCTTGCAAGTGATTCTAAAGCATGAAGAATTGAATGGAAGCTGGGTCTAAATATGGTTATCTCCTAATTCTCTCATTTCTTTAGCTATATGTGTATTTTGAATACAGAATTTCCCAAATATTCAGTAAACGCACAAATCTAAACAAGTCTTTTTATCATCAGAGCTGAAAATAAGAAAATTAAGTGCAAACACAGAAATGTATTAATGGTAGGAACCTCCTGGTTACACCAGCCCACAGGGGATTATTGTGTCTGTCCGTCCTGCTGGGTGGGGAGGGAGAGGAGGGGCTGGGTGGGGGGGTGGGGTGGGGCTGGGTGGGGAGGGGCTGGTCACCCCGTGGTGCCCTTATAAAACTCAACGTTTAACCTACTCACGCCGGCTTTTGCCCGCCCTCACAGTCGGGCATATTTGCGGAATACACCATGCCGCCGTTGACCCTGGCCATTGAAAGAGCAACCCAACGTTCCTACCAGCTCCCTCCGCAGGAATGTATTATTGTTTTGGACTGTCGTTGCTGACTGGGCTGACATCAACTTGCTACACTTGAGAACCTCCTCATGTCAACGCAATGCACTGGCATGATATTAGCTGCCCGAAGACACCCAGGAGTGGATGGAACTATAGTGCTGTATGTTGCACAGCATATAATTATCAAGAGCTTAGAACAAATAATGCAGTTTATATTACTCACCTCACTATTACATGAAGTCTCCTTGTCAACATGCTTGGACCACTGCACTATGGACTCGGTGACCTCCATTCAATTCCTCACCACGGCTAACATCAATGGGCAGGAACTTCCGTACGGATCTTGGTCCCAGTCCCTACCCTTTAACCAACCGGTACTGACCAGCATAAGATATGGTTTAACAGCCCCCATGGATGACTTGGTGTGGGGGGCACCTTCACGCAAGAGTGGATCTATCAAAGGGCTGATTATTATAACATACAATTGGCACATTTTTCAGGGCTTATACATTATATTTCCCAGGTATGGACAAGAACACTGACTGAAGTGATAAGTACAGTAGTTCAGTAACATTATCTTCAAGGGACATTTTTTTTCCAGGACAATTTTTAAGCAATGTGATGCTACCACTGGCGGAGCCAGTGGGTGGGGGGGGGGGGTGGCACGTGCCCCCTCAATAATCCGATCAAAATCCCTAATTTCGATCAGATCATTGAGGTTTACTAATACTCTTTGGTTCTTTCGGTAGAGTCACGTAGATATAAAAATAGCTAATAGATCACGACGTTTCAATAGCAACACAAGCCATCGTCTTCAGGTGAAACAATACAGCAGGCGGACTGCTGAGGCAGGAGGAAATGTAGCGACAGAGCTACTGCAACAAAAGGTTATATACGTTTGTGGTGGGTACAACCCAAGGGTAAGTGGGCGGGGGCTAGGGATGGAATTTGCAAGTAAATGTAAGGCTGGCAAACGTAAGGCTAGTAAACGTCAGCTAGTGAAATTTACAGAGGGAAGGTGATAGAGAGAGAAAAAAAAGATATCAAACTTAGCAAACTTACAAATGTAATGCAACTCAGAGAGTCGGCCAACACTACACCTGGTTGATCAACGTCCTTCCAAAGACTGATAAATAGCGCAACTGCATTATTAGTAGTAAATCAGCATTTTGCGACCCCCACTGACATTGTGTAGCATATTATTATGTGCCAGGGACTCTATGAGATGATAGGACAATAGTCCATAATTGGCAATAAGTAACGGCAAAGCAGTTATAAGTGACTCACAGAAATGTGCGCAGTTGCGTATACAGTACACGATTTCCCTGAAGGCATTCACCTTCAGCGAGCGCGATGCCGATCACACACGGTTCGAATTCGACCCTCGATCGATGGCTGTACCATGGCCGCACACTCGTCGAATAAAAAGCAAGGGACAAGTCCTTACTTACTAACAACTCCTGGCTCCGCCATTGGATGCTACACTACTAGCAGTGACAACTGCGCTTCAACAATAGCGCAACTGCATTACAATTGCATCATAACTTAAGGGAAAAAAAACGAACACCCACCTCGTCCTCAACTTGCTCTTCTGTTTCCTCAGCAGCCTCTGGAACATCGGGCTCTTTGACTGCTTGTGGTTCCCCTTGCGAGGTCGCACCCTGAGCTTCACATGCCATCCCCTGCGAGCTTTGCTCTTCCCTGGGTGGCTGTTGAGGCTCGGTTTGTTTGCCATGGGAGGCAGCACTCCGGGAATAATCTGACAGCAACAATGAATCATCCTGCAACACACATCATGCTGTAAGGAGCTTGAACATGCAGATAATAATAATGATGTCCTTAGCGTATGGAGGAAACCATTGCTAACTGTCAAGACTCCTTTTCAGGAGGGTCCTGCTTAGAATATTTGCACATTTTTTTGTTTTAGCAAATGCAAGAAAACTGGACTACAGGGGTAAAAATAATTTACTGGAGGACCCTGATGAGGCTTCAAATTCACACCATATGATAAGCAACCATAATTGCTGTACTGCCAACTCCTAATGCATATAATGCCATATGAAATAAACACGTGTATCATACATGTTAAGTGTCTCTTACATTCAACAAAAGTGACTGAATCCCAATTTTACCACCAATTTAAGATGGCAGAGAAAGTACCAAAGATAACAAGAAATTCAGACAGAAAAAACCCGAGGTGAACAAAAGTGAAGCTGTGCTATCAGTTAATCCATCATGCAGATTCTGCATTGGCTTTGCCAGCCAATTACTTTTCAGGACTGATATGTGCATGTGGGATGAAACTAAACTGCCCAGAGAACTTATGCATACAAGGAAATAGTAATGGTCCACCCGGATACGTTCGTGAATCCACTTGCTGCACCGCCACCATCAAACTACCTCGCAGCCCAGTAAATCTGAGAGATACAAAGTACTATAATGCCCACAGTCGATCGCCGCAAAATTTTATGAAAAAATTGCTTGTTTTACAGGTGGCGTCTTCCTTGAAATTAAACTGTACCTGAAAGTCATCATCGAGGGGTTCGTCAATCTCCAGGTCCAGCACTGCGTCGTCCCCGTACGTGTCCAGCTCGTCATCGTGCCGCGCGGCCCTGGATTCTCCCGCATCCCAGCTCCCCTGCTGCTCATGACCGGAGTCCCCGAAGTTTTTTCCCCCCTCCGGCTGCTGAAGGTAGCTCTGATGGGCCTCCCGCGCACCGCCTCCGTCTCCAGCCCCGCTTTGCCGAGGAGGCTGTGCCGACGAGCTCGGGGCCAGTGAGAGGCCTCCGCTGCAATGCACGTGGATTTGGGTTTCATTTAGACAATGTGGTACAGTGCATCAATTCTACATGTAAATCTGTTGCGGAATTAAAATATTGTGCAAGATAGCATGCCACACACTTCAATTTTGTCGTTCCTGTTTTGTAACAGCAGCACATTGAGCCATTGTAGTCAATCGTAGCACACATTCATTACGACTGCAACACAGGCTAGGACATTTCAAGACCCCATTGCCCAATACAGTATCTTTAGTGGGTTTTTTCTTTCACAATTTACTTCAGATGTATGCATGTTGAACTTATTTCGCACCGTACGAAGCCAACCATGCTAATCTTATGTGATGAGAAAATCGATTAAGAATTTCACAGAGCAAAATGCGCAATGTCAGAGAATGGCTGAAAATTTGTGTTGCACAGAACTTTTGAAAAGTTATTTTAAGTGGCCTCTATCATTTATACATTTCCACATGTATTTCCTGAAGTCCCCTAACAAAGAAACCTCTGTGAACAGGATTTCCAATGGTTATAAACTAATGTTGTTCATTAATACAATGAACCATTTTCAGATTTATGAGGGATGCTGCCGTACTGTAATGGCGAGCACAATGGAGCCCAGTTCAATCTCACGGCAAAGATTCAAATAATGAGAACATTTCTTAAATCCACACCCCCTCTGTCCACCAAGCAGTAAAAATTTAGACACCAGTTAGTCGATCAGCAGGTCAGGTAGTGGGATAAAGTGTGGGTACTTTCACCTCCTTTAAGACATCTTGTCCGGAGGCCTAAATAACCTCCAGACGTGGTTCTCCCCCAGGAACACTCTGCCAGCAGTTGCTGAGCAAACATTTGTAAGGCTGCACGTTTACCTTATATCATTATATTGTGGAAACAATAATTCCCAAACCAATAATGTAAAAAAATTGCTAAAAACTAAACTAAAACCAGACTCAACCAATTAAACAAATGATAAACATTTCCAAGCTAAATCTAAAACTGATGGCACTGTGGCAACCCTTTATAAAACATTGGTCATGTGCCCACATACTACTCCCATCCCTGTTTGGCTACTAATGAAAATGTATACTGATACCAACATAAGTTACATGTACTTTCTCCAATGGTGCGTTTGCAGTTTTGAGTATTGCTGAATAATCATCAGTATAAGTGCATAATCATACATATCTTTAAGCAATGATGTGGAAGGTGTGCCTCGTAAATAAGGGATTTTGTTTCTGTAGTAGGGTAGTAATCTTTACTGCGATTAGCATCTATAATACGAGTAAACACAACTGGCATGTAACATGATTAATCGGTTAAAACTTTCCTTTATAAAACGTATGGCTCAATGAGGCTGTGCCCAGCTCTAGGGCTACAAAGCAAGGTGGTCTACAATCAAGCTATATAAGTGTAGGACGCAAAAACTGGCACATTTGGGCGCCACGGTGGCGAGTATTGATCACTCTTGTTCAGTGCTCACTCTTCTCATTTCAGAGTTCAGGAAAGCAAACCTAGGTAAATGGTATTCTATTAGTCTCCATGAAATACCGGCTTAACGAGAGACAGCGTCCCGTAGCACAGCTGTCTCCATGCAGGACTAATTGGCGCGGTCGCAAGACGAATGTGAGAACAATTTCTTCCCAGTTCCTCGCCTCTTCCTTTGTGTGGTGCCATCCCCTGAGTCTCCCAGTGGCGTGGACACCCCGCCTATTTTAATTATGGCCAATCCCTTCCTCAATTTACATGCACTTGTTCAGGCCCATTACCAAAACAATGGTTTCTCCGCTTCCTGGACTACATGATAAAATTGTAATTAGAAAGCCATTCATTGGCATGCATCAATGCGACAATGGTGGGAGCACCCCATTCATCACCACTGCTGACTTGCTATATTCATCAGCAGCCAGAAGGGACCAAGGCTGTAAAACCCAGTTGGTCCCCAAACAGCCCCCTCCATATTCATGTGCAGGCTTTGCGGACACTCATTTTATACCACAGGTTTGACCATTCAGGTTAAAACATTGTGTATACTACTGTGTATACTCCAACTTCAAGTATGCCAAATTTACAAAACTGATATTTCTTTCTTAATTTAGTAAATTTCACCATGACCACAATAAATATGGATAATACCATTAAATCTAAATATTCTCCAACATGTCTTGCAAAAGCATTGCATTTAACACAACTTACTTGATCTGCTTTATATCATGGAACACTGCCAACATAAACGTTTAAATAATTAATAATACTGCTTTATATAATCTCAATTATTAAACGGTTTGAACATAAGTCACCGCCGCAGGAATCATTGGCAGATGAGTGGCAGCAGGCAGTAACCGGGCCACACGCACTCAACATAATGATCTCCATTTTTTTAAATATTCCTATATATCTAGAAAATAAGCCCAAAATATTCAACAATATTTTTATCACCATTTTTACTCGACCAGCAATTGTGGAAGACCCACATTTAAGTGGAGTAAGGACATCGAACTGAATGTGTGAAAGAAATAAGTTAATCTGTCCATGCATTTACCTATGATGTACTTCTAAAGAAAAAGCCCTGTGGCTTCAATCTGACATTCCTATATATCTCATTCAAACTTTATGAGTTAGGAATACGTCCAAATCTTACACGTTTGCGGTTGAGAGTTCAAGAGGATTGCCCAAAGCTTCACACTTCTGAAAGCACCCAAAAATCTTGATTATCCACTCACATAAATCAATCATCCTTTCAACAAGTGTTTAAGGTCATAATAATTTAATACACATTTAATAAAATTTGCAGCCCACCTTTCCAGGCATATCCACTATTTTCATGGGGTGGAGGGAAGGTCATCGGCAGTGCTTAATTTCCCTAAACTTTTGTTAGCAAGATCTCAATAGGATCATTGCAACTCAGCTTAGGCCTTTGACAATGAAAATGTTACAGTGCCAAACATATAATATTGGTAGTGCTGCATGCGACTGGTCCCCATAATGGGAATACAATATAACATTTCGAGCCCATTTGGGCAGAGGCACGATGATCAAATTATTTTATCACAATAATATTCCAATAAAATTGGGAGAGAATGTTTTGTGCCTCACATGAGATGAAGTTCCCCTTCTAAACTCTTGCAATGAGCATTATATCACCCTTTCGAAGAGAATTCCATAAAAATATAAAAATCACACAAGTACTTATGAACTACTACTGATGAAGTTCTTTCATTTGGCCTGATCATCAACACTTGGGCCACACATTAAAATTATATAACACTCAGACCTGTAATATGTACAATTTAGTGACAAACAAATTCTATATCCTCTTTCAAACAAATGTTTACAAGTGGAGGCCACCCAGACAGCCTGCCTAACTCTGGACAAATTTGTATTCTAATATAGTGAGTTAGTGAAAAGGGTTCATAAGTTTAACACAGGTGACAACCAGTGTGACAGGTAATGTACAAAGAGTTGTTATATCCTCTTGGAATTTTTCTTATTTCAGATAAACATGTTTTCACTCAGTATGAAAATAAACGGTAGTCCCCTAGACATACATTGTGGAGGGAAATGCCACTGTACATGGTAAAAAGTAAAAACATTGCAAAACATGATAACTTTGACCTTCCATGACTTAAAATGTTTATGTTTCACTTTATCTAAAAGATGGACCTGGTTCTGCATGTTCTGGCACAATTTACATGCCAGTACTGCTCTGGCACACACTTCTATGAAAATGCGTACCACAATAAAGCATCCGTATTATTTATCCTGCCAATCCTTTCAAAGACATTGGGATGTTAAATGCCTCCAGATACAAAGCTATGGGTGTTGTAAATATGGCTTGACACCCAAGATGCCTTCCTTTGTGGAAGGCTGATTTGTACGCAGTCCACTGGAGTAAATGTTTTATACTGATACTTTGTCTTTATGCCCTAAGCATAAACGAATTGGCAACTACTCTTAAATTGATCACATTTAGTTTCATTTTTGTGACTATTATTACACAATTTGTCAATTATGGCTATGTTTAATGATCCCACACCTCAAAAGGATGTCCCCCTCTTGTGCCTTAACATCCCTTCCATATGTATAACCTACTGAATTTTCCCGCATATGCATATAACCCGCAGACGCATATACCCAGCAAAAATAGCGTTTTGTGTAAAACTAATTTCAGATAGCCCGCACCTCCATATACCCCGCATGCATTCATATATTTAACGTCGTTAATTCCATCATATTAATACGAAGTTTACATTTGTAATACATTCCACTATCAATTGTTAACATTAAAATCATAACGTGCACAAAGAAAACTAACTAACTGGAAACGAGTGAACTTAAAACAGTAAATAAGTAACAAAAGTAAATATCCAATAAATAAGTAACACATAACTGGTAAGTAAGCGTACTGTTAGGCTTATCACATGACCGGTAGTTACCCCTGTACAGTTTTAACACTGGTAGATTGCGCACTGCCCAGACAATAGCGGCACTACGGTAACGCCATTGCCTCCCCCCCAACCCCCCACCTCTCCCCCTAGCTCTCCCGTCACCGGTAAACAAAGTGTGCCCACTTCAAACAATGTCGTTTAATTGTACAAACAATTTGAATAACTTAAAACGTGATAACACGTGCAATTTTAGTGTGAGTGGTTTATTCAGCAGTGCTTTAGTCAAAGGTAAGTGTTGCATAGTGGATAGTCCTAGTTATGACATGTCACACGTGTAAAATATTTTTGGGATAGCCCACACCTCCACATACCCCACAGAGTCTGGTTTTGTTTGTAAAACGTGGTATACCCTGCGGGTTATATGCGGGGAAAATACGGTACTTCTCTAGTTTAAAACAAGTTTTAGAAAATACATTTTAATTTAGATCCACTCTAAGCATGGGTGGGTTTCTAGTAGTGTCTTCCTATACATCTCTCTTGCATCAGAGCTGACTGTTGACCAAAACTGACTTACATACTGAAATGGACAATTCATTGATTGGATGAACCACAATAGATAGGTGGCTT